GGTTACACAAGCTCACGTTCATAGATTTTAAAAACTCTTTGCTTTACCATTGTCACATTTCATTACGCGCCAGCAGAGATAAGCCCGCAAAAAGTTTTGTCCCCTGCCGAGTGGGTTCTATGCCAGAAAGAATAAATAAAATTCCAGGCAAGATAATAAAAAACGACAGGGACAGCGAAAAAAAGTGGCAGGAAAAAGTACAATTCATGGCTGTAGAAGGAACACAGGGGGCGGATGCGGAATTGGAACTGAGCCCACTGCACCAACACAATTGCGACCACACGCACACACACATACACACAATTTCGACCACGCCCACCCACCAACACCCACACACTCAAACTCCCGCCTCTGGCGATGCGTTGCGATTTTAGCCCAAGGCCAGATTTCAATTAAAATTTATTGTTTGTGCCAAAACGAAAGCGAAATAAATTGAAAAATAATAATAAATTGAAATGCGAGATTTATTTTTAAATGGCATCCAATGCAATAGTTCTTGTGGCTCATCCCCACCCCCTTCAAAACCAATCGATTTTCAACAGTTACTAAATACTCGACCCTCCACGCTAAATACACATATGTGTGTGTGTGGGAAAAGTCTCTTTACAGCCCAACACTTCATCCGGGAACTCTTCTCAATATACTGAAAAGGGCAAAGGGGGAATCCCACCACGGCCACTGAACATTCACAAAAAACGAGGAAAAACGAAAACAACTTGTTCCACACATGAGCTGCCCTGAAAGCAGCTTGGAAATATAAATAACCAAAGTGAAACTTTCAAAGGGATTGCCCCTCCTCAAAATCGCTGGTTTTTCACCTGCCCAACTGCATCAGCCCCCTCCTCTCCCCACCCCTTCCCTTCCCTCACCAACTGTCATTTTGATTTCAATGAGTTTCCATCCGAAAATGGTATCGCTTCGGTTTCACTTTGCACTTTTGTGTTAAAAGCCCTAATTACACTCTCAGCAGCCACTATCCATATACACCTACCGCCCACTGCCCACCGCCCCCTCATCCCTCCCCTCATGTGTCTAGTTGGCAAATTTGACACTTTTCTCATAATTTTGTATTGCTGGCAAACAACTATGATGCAGAGAAAGAAAAACTGAGGGTGCAATTATCACTTTTTTGAATTGGAAACAAAACTGTGTAATCCTTACAAGCAAAAAGTATTTCTCTTATTATAGTTACCTTTTTTACTACCTCTAGAACCATTAGTTAAAAAAAAGCAATATGTAATAATAATAGATAAACCATGATCCCAGCTGCTAGTACTCTAAGTCTCTATCTTAGCCTTAGTAAACAACTCTAAAATCAAAATAAATAAATTGAGGAGGTGTTTGAACAACAGAGTTTTATATATCTTTTAGTGCTTTTATTTGAACTTTTTCCAAACTGTTTTATATTTTTTCCGGTGTCCTTCGGACGAGTGTGTCCTCAGCTCCTGTGGTTTTTGTTGTTATTGTGGCCGGGGCCAGCAGCTGCACTCATGGGCTTGTGCTGCCTGTTTGTGTTGGCCAGAGGTTTGCAATTAGCCCAGAGCCTGACAATTGATGGCAGGCGGAGGATGAGCACTGGCCTCCCTGGAAGCCCATACAAGCCCTGACGCAGATTGCCTGTCCCCAATTAGTTGTCGACAGGCCATTTCTCCCCGCACACACATATTGTTTGATTTGACTTTTATGGTTTATAATTGGTTTTTAATGTGGCCGGCAATTAGCAGCGAGCAGTGAGCGGCGGGATCTAGAGCATCTTAAAGATTTAATTTGGTAGCCGCCATAAAGATGTCTCCATAAAATCGCTGGATTTATGCTCGACCATTCAGGAGTGACATGAAGAGCATATTAAATGCAATAAATTCACTTAGCAGCAGCCTGGGAAAAGCTCACATATAAACTCAGGAAAACTCACTGACACGTAAACGATGCCTGGTATAAATGCAATTTCTCTTCTTGACAATGTTTTTCCCGGCGAGCAAGCTTCAAATAAAGAAGTCAAGTGCTGGGGGATGGGTTGGAAAATGGGGGGACTTGGGTGGAAAAGTGGGGTAAGTCGTTGTGCAGACCTTAATGGAATTGTTGCCTCCACTTCGCAATTATCGGTGCATGAAAAGGAAAGTGCAGCCGCGCGATAATAAAGAACAACAGTAACACGAGCAGGAAAGTCATATGCCAGCACTTGCCCACAGAATTGAGGAGGCGAAGTAGAGAGGTGGGCGGGACCAGGAGAGTACAAAGCCCTTTATCGATTTAATTAATTTTCCTTTCCCTCAAAGCCGCCAGCAGGTGCCGAAAACTGAAAGATTGACTGACTGATTGACTGACTGACTGACTGGCTGACTGAGTGCAGTACATGCAAGCTGTTGTAGTGGGATTATGTTACATGAGGTCACCTACTTTCAGGTGTCAAAGTGCCTGGAGTAATTAAAACAGGGTTGGCAACCGATTTTTAGTTTAAACTATACTAAATCCTACCACAAATTCAAAGGATCAAGACAGTCACTGCTTCTTTTGTATTTCTTTGCAATTAAAATATATATTTTAATTCAAGACCTCGTTCACAAACTTGCATTAAAACGTATTCTTCTCGGTAGAATGAAAAATTACAATCAACATGCCCTTGCTTCTCATTTCTTTTACTTTACCCGCTTTTGTCTGTTATAAATGTCGTGTTTATAGCTACTTTAGATCAGTGTTAGATTAATGTGCGGACCCTTATACTGACCCTGCCTTTGTTTGGTTAACCACAGTACACACATGTGTTTAAGTTGGAGCAAACAGAACACAGACCAGTCACGGTATTAATAATCAATTCCAACCTCGATCAATCAGCAACCGCTCATTGACAGCTCCTGGAATTTCTCCTAGAACGCAGTAAAGTCCCCCTTATCCTTATCCATATCCCCGTCCTTAACCCACCTTTCCTTTCTTTTCCTTTCCAAACCTCATTAGCCAACACATTTCTGTGAGTCAGCAGCGAGTCGTTCGCACGTGTCTCGCACAGTTGTCGCCTGGTTTTCCATGGCATGCCTAGCAGCCATAGAGGGGCGGATTCGGGACACAGGGGCAGCGAGGGGTTAAGCAAGGCTAAGGAGTGTTTTTATTATTGGCCTACTTTACCTGGCCGCCCGCCGCGAAAATGTCCATAATTGACAGTCGGACTGAAATACGCTGGAAATTACGAAGGGAAATAACTGAGTGCACAATCACAGTGAATTTATTTGATTGCTCAATAGGCAAATTGAATGGTATTTATATAAAGTCCCTAGACCTTATTGCCTTATTTATCCTTGGGAATATTTTCCTAATTCTTCGAACACTAAATATTAGTAAAACGGAGTTTTTCCTTTGGCAATAATTAAACATTTAATGGTAACTATAAAAGTGTGTAATATTAATTAGTAAAGGAATATTTTATCCTTTAGATGACATTTACTTGAATATTGCCAGCTTTGTTTTAATTACTTGCAACTTTGAAGGTCTCTTAATATTATTAATTCAAATAATTATTTTTTTAATTGGCAAATGAACGAAACATTTTAAATGTACTTAGATTGTTACCCAAACCTTCCTAGCCAATTAATTTAGAAAATACTTACTACCCATTTTAACCTACAATCTTAACTAGAAATTCCAATTTGATGGCAATAATAGAGTCGTAAAAAAAGATTAGTTTTACAACCAATTACTCAAACCTTAAACACCAATCTGACACGGACTTTCATCGGTGGCTTTTTCGGGGTTTTTTCGCCCCGGGAAATGTGCAACTCTTTATCGATTCGACCAAAACCATTTAGATGTGCCCGCTCATCAAGGCCTGGCGGCCATTAAATATAAATTCGACAGGCACCGGGCCATCTGCAGTTGACCCAAAAAGCCACTCGACTGGGGACCTGTGCCAGGAGGCCGAAAACTAAAACTCACAAATCATTGAGCGGTTCGAAAGTGCAGGACGATAACTGCGATGAGTGATGGGGAAATTGCATCTGCATTCAGTTGGGCGAAAGTCTGGCTCATTAATAATGCAGCCGGCATACGGGGCTCCATTTTCCCGATCCGAGGCCCATTTACCCTTCCGGCTGGCCACACCAACTTGCACTTCCCGAGCTTCCCAACTTCCCATTTTCCGAACTGCCCAACTACCTTAACTTCCCCAACTTGCCGCGACTTCCGCTGCTCGTTAGGCGATGGCTCGTGAAATGAGCTCCGACGTTCATTGCACATTATGGCCCACGTCCTGTATGGCTTCTGTTGCTCTTTTCAGTGCTGTTATCCTTTTTTCCAGTCCTTGCATAATTACAGGCGGCGGCTGCAGCCCAAGTTAATAAACAATTTGCACTCCATGTGGCGGTGGCGCCTCCCTGGCCGCGCATTATTCGTTAATTACTTTTTAATTGCACGGGCAATAGCCCAATTTCGCTTATTCGGCCTGTCCTCGGTGCGTATACTTAATATTTTTGTTTGGTATGCATGTATTTCGGGTGTTTCTCTAAGGTTTCTCCTTGCGTCATAGGCGTATCCACTTTGCATGTCCCTCGACTCGACAGGGGTGTTCTTTTTGGGGGTTTGGGCCAACTAAATTAAATTACTTGCCTTTTAGAGCGATTGTCATGATGAGTCACGGCTAAAAATGTGCAAATTGAGCCTCCTCTGGCGCTGCCTTTTTTTTTACCATTTTTTGGGTATGACGAAGGTTCTGCTGATTGTCGCGTTGCTACCTGAATTTTCAATGAAGTTTAAAGAGAGGAGGGCATGAAGATGTGGTTTTAAATTTCCAAGAGAAAACCTTTTTAAAGGCAATTACTTTTACTCTAAAGACACTTTTAAGAAGCGTACCTGCAAAGTCATGATTGGAACTCCTTTCCAATTTTATCAAACTATCCTCCGTTTCAACTATTCATACCTAAGGATATTTATTTAAACGGCTTACAAATGGCCTGATTACGTGCTAGAAATACTTAAAGGGAAGATCACAAGAACTGTTGCCCACGAATGCAACATAAATCTCATCCGATGCTGGAGGACTCTCTAGGGAATGGGTAATCGCCCCGCATCCCCGCAACCCCTCATCCTTCGAAAACTGTGCAAATGCCATCACGTCAGTGGGAACCTGTCAATGTTGTTGCTTAGCGCGTTGTTGTCCTCGTCTTCGACCTGCTCTTGCTCTTGCTCCTGCTGCTGCTGGCCCAGGACCCACCGACTGACAGATGGCTGCCTGGTGGCATTAGGTGGCAATTTGTAGGCAATGGGCAGCCGAGGAGCCAGCGAAACAATCGCCCTCGGCCGACTGCTCCTTCCGAAGGGCTTGGCTTCGTTCGTATCCAGAAAGAAGTTGCCACGAATCCTGCAAGCGGGCTTATCAGACGGACGCGCCGAGATTGAGCGATTGCCAACTCACCTGGGATCCGCCCCCATCCCCATGTGGGCGGGGCCGCTTCCTGGCTCCCGGCAGATGCCGAACATTTCGGAGGGCTCGCATCGCTGGGCGGGGAATCCCCGGGGCTGGCCCACACTCTCCACGAAATACTCCCAGGCTCGCTGGTGACTGCAGCCAACTGCAAGAGGAGATTGGTATATTAGCTGTTAGTTGTCTTATATTAAAAATTAAATATTAAACACTAAAGAATATCTAAGATATTATTTAACTGAAATTATATGAATTATATATAAGAAAATTATTAAAACCAAAGACGTTTGTCAAGTATTATATTTATAACTTGATTTTTAGTTATTACTTGACATCAGTCCCTTATCAGATATTATTACTCTGAAATTTGTTTAATAATGTAATTAATATACTAGATGTATTGCATATTTATCGTTTTAAAAACCGTTTTTAACTAAGCCTTAAACTGTTTATATATTATATGGATATTATTTTATCGTAAAATATGATTCATAATACTTGTTTAAGTATTCATTTAAAAATCCTCGTATTAAATTATGTCTAAGATATATCTTCCAAAAAATACTTTTTATGAAGGACTTATATTAAAATCTTTGTGTCTCTTAAGCATGTTTAACCAAGTAAAAGTTAAATTTTATTAAGAAATACTCCAGTTTAGTACCCACCAATTATCCCCAGCCAGTTATTGGCAATGTTCTGCCTGGCACAGCCCGGTTGCAGGGGTCGTCCTCCATTTGGGTAGAAGTCCGCGTGGCCCATGGCCGCCGGGTTGCCCAGGAGGCCCCCATCCGTGTGGATGACGTCCACGAACCTGGCATCGCTGGGACTCAGGCGGCGGTTGGAGCTGTTGCCCTCGAAAAGGGGCAGGGCCGGATCGAGGGCCGTTATCCTGGCCAGCTTGATGCCCCACTCCTGCAGCTGCTTGCCCGCGAACCCGGCCACCTCGGCGCCCAGGCTGAAGCCAATCAGGTGGATGTACTTGGCCGGATAGCCCTTGTCCACCAGGAATCGCAGGAACCTGGCCAAATAGCGGGCCGTCACCGGCAGATTCTCCACGGCATTCGAGTACCAGGGCACCGCTGTCATCGCACTCCAGTCGATGAGGATGACATTGTACTTGCCCCGCCTGAGGAAGGCTGCAAACATGGACACGGGGTCAGGATAAATATTGGAGGGAGGAGGGCAGGCAGTCAATGTCCACTCACCGTCCTTCAGCTCCTGGCTGCTCTGCCGTTCGCCGGTGGCCGACTCCGAAAAACCGTGCAGATAGATGGCCAGCGGGTAATTGAAATTGAAATTGCTCTGCGCCAGCCGGGCATCGTCGCTCAGGTGGAGCAGTTGGGCGGCGTTGCGGTTCCGGCTGCAATGGAAGATGGCCCCAATTTTGATGGCCCCTCAATATGCATGGGCTGGGATCGGAAGGGGCGACGTTTGCTTACCTGGTGTACAGCATGAACTTTATGTCCTCGCGTTCTTTAATCGCACAGCAGGTGGAGCAGGATCCACGCGGGGCGGCGCTGTAGAAGATGGGGGAACCAGCTGGGGATTTAAGCATAAAATTAAACCGATGCCGCTTAAAAACAAACTGGAAAGAAATTATTTCCATTTTGGAAGTTTTCTTAAAACAATTTTCAATTTTAATTAAATTCTCAGATTTCAATGCTAAGCTTTTTCTTTGTATTTTACAATTAACTATTCAAAAAGCACTTGTTCATGTCTCAATTTACTATTAAATTAAATAAAATGTATAAACATGACTTTATTAATATTCAAATAAGCCGAACAAATTGCCAGCCATTAAATAACTTACAACATCCGTTGAAACTTCAAGAGGAAATCGAATTTGTCAAGTGCCAAACACGAGCAAATTTATCTAGAGCTTGGAACACAAAACTAATTGATTCATTAGCTTCATTAACTGACTGGCAACGCGTCCGAATGCCAGGTAGCCATAACCATAACATAACAATAACAATAACACACAGTAACAACAAAGACCAAAACCCAAACAAAAACAGTGGCTAAGAAAACGAAACTGGCCTAACGAAGCCCAACTTGGCCGTGAACTTGAGGGGAGTTAAATTAAATCAAGTGGAATGGTATGTAGATGTACAAGTGCTACAACAGTAGCCACAAAGACAGCACGTGACGCATACGCCGCGTGTTACGTACCAGAGGCACAAACAAAAAAAGAAAAATAAAAATAAAAACAAGTTTTCATTTCCATCAGGTTTTCGCTGTTCACACGACCAAGACTTTAATCAGTTCGATTGGTGGGTGGGTGAAACCGCCAGTGGGTCAACCACTTTGCGATTGAGATGTCAATGACGCTGCTCTGCCTTCCTTTTTCGCTCTGTTTGTTTTGCTACACATTTTTATCGCCAGTTGCGACTGCATACGGATAATACACTTGATTAGATGCCAAGTAACAATGACGATGGCCTTAGCCAATGCCGGATTCATTTGCAATTCCGTCCACTTATCACCTTCCTTTTGGCTGGCAAAAAATTATATCAACTTTTAAATGGTCTTCTATTGTGTTATGGTATTTGGGTATTTAAACAAATAAAGTACATTTAATCAGAATCTTATTAATAATATTGTTTGTTATTGTTTTTTTTAAATACTATTTTAAATATAGATTGAAGTTGAATTAATACAAAGTTGTTAAGCTAGTAGAAATAGTAGTTTATTTAGGGAAAACCATTTAAAAATCTAATAAATCTTTATTAGAAAAAATGGAAGTAATATACTTTTCAATACAATTGCTAATCTTTTTCTAATATTAATTAATCTGCAACCAAAGCTAGTAATTAAATGCCTAATTATAAGTCAGAGTATCTCAACTTCGTTTTCCGCAGTCCTTTTTATTGCTTTAATTTACTCCAAATTTTATGTATGTAGCTTAAATATCTTTTATTTATGTTAATGTGCTGGCTGCGTTGATTTTTTTGCTGCAGAGCGGAAGAGTTTGTCGCGCTTATTTATGAGGAATGTTCCGAGGTATTGCTATTTAATTTTATTTTACGTATTCTTTGTTTTGCTTTGCCTGTGGTTTCGCGACGTCATGCCGTGCATTTAATTTGTATTTCTGTTTTTTAATTATCACGCTACTAGCTTTAATTTAAATGTACGTTTGGCTGGCAGTTAATAAGCGGCTTTAAGCCGCGGTGATTGTTATGGTTGCACTCAGAACTTTACGGGTACCGGCTTTATGCTTCTAGTCGAGTGATTCCCCTACTGGCATTGAAAACGGTGTGGTTTACGCCATTAAGAATGTCGTAAAGTGCGGCACGTTATGATCTATATAAGTTGTGCGAGGAGGAAGAGACAAAGAAGGGGCTTTACAAGTGATATGCGATACATTGATGATTTGTTTGGCTAGTAAATATCTTTGTGATGGCCCATCCCCTTTCCAGCTGCCCTCCTTCACAGCTCAGTGGCCATCCAGCTGACCTGCCCCAAGTCAAATATTGCCGATGGTCAACAATTGAATCTTTTGAGTGCGCGTATCAACAAAGACGTCAGCTTGTTTGGCTTACAAGCCATTCCGCCTTGAACTTATGTGTATAGTCACGCCCCAACCGCCCACTTGGGACACGATTTTCCAGCTGACATTGAGGAGAATCAATGCTAATAGATGCCACTTTCGGTTTTAGCCTCAGTTTCCAATCACGATGTCTCAACTTACCCAGCAGAAATGCAAATACATTGCATAATGTCGAGGCGGCCGGCAACACCATGGCAAACACAATAAATTAGTTCAAATATGAAGTCAAGAGCTACGGCGATTTTCGTACAATGAACCCCCGATTTTGGGCGTGCAATTCTAATTCACTTAGGTACGCGAAAATCAACATTCAAATCGGTTTCCGCAATTGTTATATATTGTTTTATGTTTGTCTAGACATCACAAATCGCGATTACAATCGACACCAAAAACGATCTGTTCTCGACGAGCACCGAATACGGACTGAACGGTCGGAACTCCCGATCCGCCGAGCTAGACTTTCTGCCTCTGCCTCTGCCGCCGTCGACTGCGCTGCCCGCGTCGCTGCCGATCTGATAAGCAGAATTCGCGAGGCCCTAAAACGAAAGACTGAGGCAACAAACTTGTGCGCGCCTGTAAGCCATAATACGTTCCGTATTTAAATGAGTTAATCAGGCATGCAAAAGCCGGCCGAGATCGTAAAATAGATTTTCAGTTTCCTGATTGTCGCGCGTCCAACACACACCGCCCACCACCTACCACCCACTCCATGCCGGGCATTCCAAATGAGCAGGCCACCCAGGCGATCTTTGCCGGGAAAAGGCAAGCCAAAAGTTCAGCCGGATCCATCTGACAGACGGCTCACCTTGACCAGATGCGACTTTCCGTTTCAGTTCACTTATCGCCCCTCGATCGGATTCAACATCCGACAGCCTTAAGGTGGGGATACCTATTGAAAACTAATCATTATTTATCGTTAGTTCAGTTAAGCAGTAACGAATATTCCGTTAGGTATTTTGGGTGGAATTCAAAGTATTTTTAAAGTTAAATTAATATGATGATTTATTTTGTTTGCAAAATATAATTAAAAAGTTCACTTTGTTAAGGTCATTGCGAATTTTTCAGTTTCTTTTCGTTTTTTTTCTGACCCATCCCCTGCAGGTCTTTTGTTTCTGAAGGTCTGTTAGCACGCCGCTAAAATGGCCATTAATCACAGGAAAATAAAAAAGAGGATAGTAAGGGCATTAATGCTTCGATCCAACAGTTTGTGAAATTATTTTCAATGCGGGCGTGCGATTTCGCGGCTTTTTGCGCTTTCGTCTCAGCTGTCGATAAATACGCCGAATCCAGTGGCGTCTTATAGGCTATAATATCAGCGGTATACAAGTTTCATAAACTTGGAAATATCATAGAATTTAAAATTAACTAACTAATCTTTTAAGTTAAATAAAAATTAAATATTACCCTGAAATTCAAAAGAAAACCCCCTTCCACTTATTGCCAACATTCACCATGGTCGCCAAACCGGTGACCACTCAACCAGAGATCGATCAGCTGTTGTTACAGATGGCAAGAAATAATTGCAAAAAGATTCTTTGGACATTTGCGGTTGCCAATGAAACATTTGATTGATTTGCCATTGCTTGCATAAGCCCCCAAATACCAATTAAATGTATACCTTGCATGTATGCAATTAAACCGCAGAAGCCCTCGCTGGCGAACAATTTCCACGATGTTCGAAGTGGCATTGGGGAACCATCAAGTGCAAGGGCTCCGCTTCAAAGCCGCACAGTCAAGGAAAGCCATGTGTTCTAGGTTCTACATCAAGAGCAAGCCCATTAGTCGTCCCCACACTTGAAATTGTGCGAAAAAGGAAAATGGAAATACAGACGGCGAAAATAGCTTTACAACTTCCTCAAGCCTTGCCAAAATTTATGGCCCGCAAATAATAAATACAATTGGTTTTGCAACAAAGGGAGCAGCTTCCAAAAATAGTCACATTAACTATAAATAGCTTAATACGATCGTAAACCAGTTCATTCAATCAGGGCTTAAAAAGGTGCTGAATCACTAAATTAATTACCCGAGGGGATGGTCAACAATGGGTAGTTCTTATGAGTGGAAAGATTCGAAATCAATTAACGATCTGTCAGTCTGAGGTCGAACACCCAAACTGACCTCAGAAGGCGTCTATGCAGACATACAGATATTGAGATACAAACATGGCCAGAAACAAAGCAAAACACTGCTCATCAATTTGCATAATCACTCGTTGATTCGATACGAAATCAGACCGTTAGCCAATGCGTAGATTGCAATCGACTGCTAATTTAGCATCTTTAAATTTCATTTTTATTGTTCGAAGTGTCGGCTGTAAAAGATACTTTGCCGGATCTTTATGGACATGTCAAACGGCTTCTGGAAAAGGCCTTGAAAGTTGCAGCCATCATTTACAGCTAAGCAGTTGAAAGTCGACATGTCGTCATAATAGGCCAGATCAATATGTGCCTACTGTTTGGTTAATTAATACACTGCTGCTTGTGAATTTATGATGGTAAATCGAATTTATCGCCTGTCCATTCTAGCAGAAAAAACATTTTAAAACAGTTAAACACAAAAAAGGACTTAATAAAAGAAAGTCAGTTTGAAAGTTCAAGCTAAATACAAAATCTAAATCTCAGACTAAAGTCTCAGTTTTTGTAATAATAATTAAGGGTTTATACATAGCCATTGAAAAGGCTATTTTATTTTAAACTCATCCATAATACTTTTTCATACAATATAATATTTTGTGATAGAATGTCGTAAACACTTCACACAACGCCGAACTTGATCGTTTGCTTTCAAAGTTTGTTATAACTTTTTTTAAGTGTATTTAAATTTTTTCTGATTCATGAGTGCACTAAAGTATAATTCCCAAAGCTATATTTTTTTAATGACAAACATTTCCAGCAGTTCTAATAATTTAAATGCAGCTAAGCTAAGAACCATAATAAACTGGCATTTCGGAATGCTGCAAATGTGTCTTAATCATCATAAGCTTACAGATAATTGAAACAAAACGAGGGAATGTTCTTTCTTTGCTTCAATGCAATAAACTTTTAATAACCTTACCAGTTTTAAACTGCAATACAAAATCAGCTTACTGCTCACTATCCCTTCCTTGCTTTTTTCTGTTTTACTAGTTTTGTTCAGCTTAAAAGAAAACGCGAAAATGTAGGTTGATAAGCCTAGGATCTTTGGGGATTTGAAAAGTTCTGTTTTACTATATTTCGTAGTTAAGGTTTTGCTGTGCTTCACACTGCTTTCAACTGAATTATATGCATACTTTATGGATGAAAAACACAACTAGATTATAAGCACAATTCCTAGCGTACTTAAAGGCGTGCAGATTAAATCTTTTCTTCCCTTATCTATAATTTCAGGACAAGCTGCTGAGCAAACTGGAAGAGGAGAGCGAGCCGGACCCGCCCACGTCGCAGGAGGACGAGTGTGTGATCTGCATCAATGCGCGGGCCACCATGCAGACCTCTCCATGTGGCCACCGCGTCGTCTGCCGGCGGTGCTTCGTGAAGACGATCCAGAGCGCGGTGGCCCAGCGGCTGCTGCCCCTGCGCTGCGTGATCTGCCGGGCGCGGGTGAACCGGCTGACCTCGTCCTCGGGCACCTGGCGCATCCAGGAGTCGGCCAGCAGCTACTCGATGGGCGCCAAGAGCTGGGCCTCCGCCGGAGTGGCCGCCGGCGGGGTGGTGCCCTCGGCCAGCTCCTACTCGATGAACGACGCGCACAGCGGGCACCACTCGTTCCACCAGCCCACGCTGCACAAGTCGGCGGTGGGGCGGCACCATCCGCACCACCCGCCTCACTACGCCCCGCGCCCAGGATCGGCCCATGCCCGCGTGTCCCAGTCGGACAGCCTGTACTCGATGAGCTCGACGGGATCGGCGGCCTCGTCGGCCTCCGGCTACTCTCACTACTCGAAGACGTCTTCCATATCGAGCAACGGTCCCTGCTCACCGGCCTCGCCGGCCGTGGCTTCCAGCTCCCATCACCTGGCGCCGCCCTCGCCCACCACCCACCACCACCCCCATGGCCTGGCCTCGCCCACTCCCTCTGGATCCTCGGGGAGTTCCCTTTCGCCCCGCGAGAACGGCGCCTCGCACTCGCACTCCCATCATGGCGGCTGTCCCAGTGGCTGCTCCGGTGCCGTGCCGAGGAAGCCGCTGCACGCGCTCACCAACTGCTCCCCCGCACCCGCCCCCGCCTCCGGCTCCTCCTCCAGCGGCAGTGGCCACAGTGCGGGGGGCGGGAGCGGAACCAGCGGCATGATGACGCCCACGCACACGTACCCGGGTCGCAGGCACGTGAAGAACCGACTGATGGACATCCAGAACCGCCTGCCGCCCATCAAGGAGTTCCGCAGTCCGGCCAAGGTGCCGCATCCCTCGCCGGTGCACGTCAGCAATCCCAGATTTCGGTGAGTGTGGCACCTGTGTACTGGAAAGTGTTCCAGGGACTCATGTACCCCATTCCTTGCAGCTACTCCACTTACACCAAGTCCAGTGCCCACGAGCTGGCTCCGCTGCTTAGGGAGTCCGGATCGCCGCCGCCACGTCGACCCAGTCCGATGAACATCCAGCTCAGCTGCTCCCCACTGGCCCCGCCCCCTTTGAAGGCGGGCGGGGCAAGGATCTGCCCGCTGACCTCGAAGAACTCGCTGCCCAAAAACGCTTACGTGATGCCCAAGGACAAGAAGCCGCCAGCTTCTGCTCCGCAGGGGAAAGCAACTGGCACTGCCGCCAAGTCGACTCCACAGGGAGCGGGCTGCTCGAGGGCCTCTGCAGGATGTGCGGCTGCCAGTTCAGGATCAGCAGGTCCTGGACCAGCCGCCCATCCCAAGCCCACGTCAAGCTCTTCCAGTCGCAGTTTTCCGCTTTTCTCCGCCGCCAGCAATCAGAGTGAGTTTTCACTTAAGTTTATTTATTTATTATAAATGATGGAATAGTTTATAAAACTAAAGCTAACATTAAAGGTATAGTACGAGGCCTTCGACTATGTTTGTTTAAAGATGTTTAATATTACTTATTATATATAAGTTAACATACATACATTAACTTTCTAATGAGTAGCCCCAAAATATTGATGAAATTTCTAGAAATTTAAGAAAAGATTTCAAGATGAATCTAACAAACTCTGAAAGAATTTCCTTCCGAAAGAAAAACTCTTCCTTCCCAAAGAAAAACTCTTTTTGAAGGAAATTCTTTTAGAGTTCACATTTTTGGAAGTTCTAACTTTCCCTATATCACATATATTCTGTAATAATAAAGGTTAACTTATATTCCAGGAGAGAAGGCTGACAATAAGAAGAACGAGTCCGTTGAGCGCAAGAAGAAGGAGGAGAAGATCAAGCTGAAGGCCGAGAAGGAAGCCAGGAAGGTGGGTGAAATGGCAGGGAACTTTGGTGGACCCCATCCTCCTCTTTGTTTGGGAGATGCATTGTTTTCCCCCCGAAACCCCGAAGCCCCCAAACAGGCTGTGCATATTTGTATTGTTTGTAATTGGCCTCGTTCCCCTTTTTCTTTCTGCCAACTGTTTTGGAAAAGTTTTTCATTAATCGCGGGCGAAAGGGCTTAGGGAAGTGGGGGTTCGCCGAGTTCTCCTTTTGTGCCGGCAAAGCATAAATTTCCAAACTTACGAGCACGGGAGACTCATAAAGCGCGGGCAATTCCGATTTTCTTGTTTATGATTTCCACTGCATGCAAACAAAGTTATTCATTTTGCATTTCCCATTTTACATTTTCCATTTTGCAGGAGGAGAAGCGAATGGCCAAGGAGGAGGAGCGTCAGGCCAAGCTGCACGCCAAGGAGGAGAAGAAGCGGGGCAAGAAGGAGGCCAAGGAGCTGCTGTTGGCCAACGATGGGAACAGCAAGAAGTGAAGGGGGTGGAACCCGATTAGCCAGCAAAAACGCATATTTCCAGTTGCAATTCTAGCCCTAAGAACATCACCAAGTATCCAAGCCCGTACTATATCAGATCGAACCGGATCGAATTAGATCGCCATCTCTCACCACTCAACATCCCCACATGAAACGAGCTTGATTGTATTTTTAGGATAATATTTTGTCAGTTAGCCATTAATCGTTTCTATAAGTTTATAACCGAAAAGGAAAATAGCAAAGCCAAATATAAAAAAAGGAATATCTAAAACAACAGATATCTCCCTACAACTCCTTAAGAATTAACATCCTGCACAAGTCTCAATATGATTTTCTTCCATTTCAATAAAGATTTCACCATAATTTGGTATGGAAAGCCATATTTTAAATACTTTACTGTCCAGAACTCTACTAATATTTTATAAATTTCAACTGTATTAAAAATGTTTAATTGGTTTAATTAAAGAGACGCTTACTTTTCTTCTTTTAAGCTTTCCGAAAATCATGCCAATCCTTTGTATAAACGATAAACCTTTGGCAGAATCGGACACATCCACTTGATCTTAGCTTTCATTTCCCATTTAGTTTTAAGCTAAAACTTCCATTTATTTTTCCCTTGGTTTACTGACCACTTTCATAACTCTTCACAGTCTAGAGATATGATAAGAGTAAGACGATATCGCTGCCTTTCGTTCGACATTGCCTCAGTCTCAGCTCATCTGTCTCATTATCAAGTTAAAGGTTGTTGAAACGATTTCAATTTGAACAGATTCCGATGGAAATATCCGTACTAGACCTTTTTACCTTCAATTTTCCAAATACTAGACTACTAACAAGATACCCCTAATTAGAGAGAACCTCATCTCGAGATATAGAACCATGACCACATCAAGGCAAGCCAATGTTAGAGCCAAGCTTTAGCAAACGTAAGCCCGAATCCGGATATATTAATAGATATGTACTACCAGTATGTTAACATGTTGACTAACAAATTATAAAAGACGAGAGCATATTAAAGTAGTTTTCATATACCCCTCTATATATATTATATATATCTGTAACTAAATCTATAGATTCCATACCTATATTGGAAACTGTTCAAGCGGCAAACATAAGCAATGTTTCGATGTATGTATGTGTATATGTGTTACCAGGATTGTTTTAAAAACAGAAAAAGATATCCCGCAAAAGGGGAGCAAATAAGCCCAATAAAGAATCAATTATGTTAGTCCCGGCGTTTCCTTAGCTTGGACAATTTTCTTTTCTGCCAATCGCTGCTTGGCCTTCAGGCACCCATTGAAGACCTTGCCAAAGATATTGGGCAGTTCTCCCCGGCAGTTAAGATTGCCCAGCTTGTGGAGGGCTCCGAAGTCCAGGCAATCGATGTGGTCATCTCCATTGCAGTCCTGTCCGTGCTTAAACATGTAGTTCTGGACCGTGTCGGCTGCACAGTGGGGCTGATTCACGCAGTTGGTGAAGGCTGCATAAAGGAAGTTACACTTGGGTTGGTCATTCAACTGGTCAACATCAACTTACCGTCGTCGGAGAGCGCTGTATCCGTGGGCAGAGTCAGTTTTCCCGCCTCCACCCAGTAGCCCCAAGTAATCCGGAATATGCCGCATGCCCCATTCACACAAATTGCGGATGCATTGCAGCCACTCATTGTTTCACATAGACAGTCCAGGCAATCTTCCGTGACGGGTTTGTTTTTCACTAAATGCACAGAACAAAATGAGTACCAACGCCGGATAATATTTTCTTGGTTTTCAGAATATATTCGAGTAAAAGTATATTAACTACTGATTTTATTTAAATACCAAAAAAATAAATAAAACAAAATGTAAATATATATACCATACATCATATATTCTATGGTTTCTCGACTCAGTGTACAAGAAAAGTTAATTTTCTTTCTTTTCAGAATATATTTGAGTAAAAGCATATTTTTATCTTCTGATTTATTTAATTTAAATTTCAAAAAACAAATAAAACAAAATGTAAATATATATATCATATATCATAGATGCTATGGTTTCTCGACTCAGTGTACGAGAAAAGTGCAAATGGGCGGATGTAACGGCCGGGTTTATATATACTATAAGCCATCCCGACAAACTGGCTTTAGTTTACTATACAGCGAAAGCAAATGGATTACCATAATTATAGAGCAATCTCTACTACGTACTAAGCCTCAAATGGCACAGTGGTTCGACAACACACATCTCGCTGAGGTTGTTAGGTCTTATGGTCTAAGCCACTTACCCTCAGTACTGGACCCACTGTCCACCAGTAGCCACAAACAAGCCAAGCCGACGAGTAATCGAAGCATATCTGAGCTTTGATTCCGATCTAGAATAGAGACCCCGACCTTCTGCCGCCGTGTTGACCACACAACTGATCTAAGTTGGCTGCCAGCCACTTGTTTATTAATCAAAAATAACGCCTATATTAGCAATGCAATTTTCGCACATAAATTACCCGGACTCTTCCTCATAAGTTAGTTACTAAAAACTAGTTAAAGGGCTTAGTTGGCTTTCTGCCGCTTTCCATCCCGAATGGCGTTATTCAAACAGCGTTTGAAAATGTTCTCGTAGGTAAAGGGCATGTCCGCCTTGCAATTGAAAGGACCCATGTAATGAATGGCTCCGTAATCGTAGCAGTCCTCCTTCTCGTCATCGTTGCAATCCTGTCCGTACTTCACCATATAGCTCTGCAAGGTATCAGCTGCACAGTAAGGATCATTGGCGCAGTTGGTAAAAGCTGACAAGTAAAGGAGTGTTGAATGAATTATCGATTCAATTCAAAGGGCAATCCCCGTTCTTACAGCTATCCGTTAAAGGCGAATCGCCTGGTATTGTCAGTCTGCCCGAATCCACCCACTGATCCCAGGTGAGCCTGAAGATGCCACATGCCCCATTCACACACACCGCGGTGGCATTGCACCCACTCAGGGCCTCACACATACACACCAGGCATGTTTCTGTAATGGGCTTCGGGTTCTCAGCTGCCACCCATCTCCCGCCAATTGTTAGGCCGAGAAACCAGAATAGTATATGTCTATAGTGCATAGCTCAGCTGCGAGATCAGTATTCACTTCCGATTCGATGCGTACCGCGATTGTTCAGCCACTGAAACGTTTTCAGCACTGACTACTGATTTTTATTAAACACTGCTCTGAGAATTGGCTCTATCGAAAGTGGCTAATTGCAGTAATAGGAAATGCACCGGTCTAATTTTAAATCCGGGGTGATTCCCGGTTGTTATTTATTCACCATAAAAATCTTAACTTAAGCTAAGAATCGATAAGATTTGCTTTTTTTCAAAAACAGTTGAAATTAATAAACTAACATTTAAAGTTAGGCATTTTTACTTTAAAGAGACACAATTATATCACTCCAGGCCCTCATTTTCGTACATTTCAATGCATTCTTCGAAGGCAGTCTGGTAGTTGTAGGGCAAGTCCGCCTGACAACCATAAGCCCCCAATTTGTGGATTTTGGCATAATCGAGGCAATCCATTTCGCCATCATCATTGCAGTCCTGATTGAACTTCTTCATGTAATTCTGCACCAAGTCAGCGGCACAGTGCGGATCGTTGGCACAGTTGATGAAGGCCTTCTCAGAGTCGGGAAGCTCTCCATTAAGAGTGAGTTTTCCAGCATCCACCCAGTAGGCCCAGGTGATGCGGAAAATGCCGCAAGTGCCCTTCTCCGGACTGGTGCAAATCGCCGTGGCATTGCAGCCACTGATGGCCTCACAAATACAGGTGAGGCACTTCTCTGTCACGGGCTTATCCAGCACATGACCTGTGAATGACACTAGTCAGACCTATTTCCTTTTAAATATATTTTGGGAAAACTCACCTTGACCTTGCACCAACGAAGGCGACAGCGTCAGCAGTAAGCAAAGAAAATACCCCAGTAAAGCTCTCATTCTCCCGCTTGATAAAATAGTTGCATCTGACACCTCTGCATATAAACCTGCGAATGGTGCCAGCGAATCCAATGGACTGCCTACTCACCCGGTTACTCCGGCAAACTAGCGGGCAATACCGGTTTATAGGGCGCATCCACAACCACATCCACACCCACTCGAATAGACAGCGTCTGCTACCCCTTAACCTCACCCTCAGTTTAAAAACAAAACCTATTTGATATTTCTAATCTACTTTGTGAACTTATTTTTAACATTTTGGCTGCTGAACTTCTTATGCATTTTGGTCCTTATAGATAGGTTAGACTAGATCATACAGCCCATTAAAGTGCAGGGCTGTTTTATACTTTTAGGGTATAAACCATACCTATACAAATTTAAAAAGGGGTGCAATTAATTTATAGAATTTAAGCACGGAATATATTAAGGAATAATTGACTTGTAAATCTGCCTCTCATATTTTAAAAAAGTCCGAAAAAGTATGCAACGTTAAGAAGCAGAAATATTTTATAGTAAGCTGTAAAGGCTGACTGACTATTTTATACACTGTTCAAAAATTTAATATTATCTACATTTTTTATTTAACTTTTTCCTTTTTCAGACTACAAAAACTATTCTGAAAACAACGTAAATATAAACAATGTAAAACTGAAAACGTTATTGAGAGCTGTGATTTATATTTATTCCCTTGTCGTATTGTCATTTATTATCAATCTCAATTGCGCAATCTTATTCGAATTCAAATGCATTGCCATAAATTATTAGTTATTACATTATTTAAATTTAATTAAGACATAAGTTTAGCAAGATTATGGGATTACTTGCTGGAGCGAACGTCGATTTGCTGGAAAGAATTGAGGCAGTTGGTCAGCTGCGTCTGGTACTGGTAGCTCAGCTCGCCCTTGCACCCGTATCCGCCCAACTTGTGGATGGCCGCGAAGTCGTAGCAATCGATGGCGTTGTCCCCGTTGCAGTCCTGCCCGAACTTGGTCATGTAATTCTGGATCGTGTTGGCCGCGCAGTACGGATCGTTCACGCAGTTGGCATAGGCTGGGGTAGATAAGTGCTGATAATATTTATGGAAAACATTAAAAATAAGAAAGGCTTACCGTCCTCCGACTGGGGACTCTCGTTGCCCAAGGTCAGCTTGCCGCCGTCGGACCAGTAAGCCCACGTGATGCGAAACAGGCCGCAGACTCCGCCGCCGCAGTAACGGGTCTGGTTGCATCCACTGATGGCCTCGCAGATGCATCCCAGGCACACATCAGTCACCGGCTTATCTGCATGGGGTTAAAAGATCGTTCAAATCAAATCAGTTCAGTTCAGTTCAGTTCACTGATTAGCCCGCGAGCGTAAATACTGCCGTAGCAAAACTCGAATGGTGTCACACATTTTTGCCCAGATCATGTCATCGCTTTATTCAGAGCATTCGGTAATGTTTTGATTTTTGAGAGTTATAACAAGCTAAGATCTTTGGAATTCCAGCAGAACACAGTAAAAAAGTAGCGCTCTTTATATAGGAATCTTTCGGTTAACAATACTAAACATTAAGAGGAAAATTTAGTTAAAGAAGATCAACTATCTGTAGGAGCAAAACAATAATTTTAAAATTCCAAGCAAATACACTACATTTTTAGATTATGATTACCTATTAACAAGAAAATGCTCTTACAGTTATTATTATCGGAATTAAAATAAGTCCTTCATTATCATTTTGGTTTCCCCCTTATAAGTTGAGTCATAAAATTTCAAAAATATATTAATAATGTTGAAGGAACAAAAATCAATTTCGTCGGCTGCACGCCCATGAACCTGAAAATACAAGCCGTTGAATCTGTCAGCCTCACGTCCCCATCTCATATTTTACCGAACTAGTTTTGCAACTTTCAATGGCAACATTGAAGCATCAACGTAGAACAAATCCGGCAGACGCAGGCAGTAGGCGAGGATGAGTCAATACATCGGCGTTATCAAGACCTTGTTCTTGTAATTAATTTCGTATTTTTAACGAGTATTGGCAATTTGCAAAGTCGAGAAGATTGGCTGGCAATCAAGCACAGCATGTCTTCTAGCCTTCTGCCTCACCCACACGCGCTAACTTAGAGGTTTCTGAGTTCACTGAACTATGCAAAACAATCTTGAAAGGCTCAAAAATTGGGTCAAGACTAAAAATTGTTTATCACGCCGCAAAAATATCAAAGGAAAATTTGTTTTATTTTTAATTAATTAATTTAGATCAAATTTAAAAATTATTAAAGCAGAATCTACTTCATATAAACATTTTTTAATGGGTTTTTCCTTGCTCTGAGATAACCCACACGCAGGCAGAGATTAAACTTACGATCCGACGTCATCAAAACAAATTGTCACGAAGGTGGGATTTTGTCGGGCTAAACAATAGAGTACCAAATGGCACTACACAACTTAATTCCGGATTCGGGGAAAATTTTAATAAAACTACATCCTTCTTCCGAAGACTTGAGTTGTGTTGATTACCCATATAAGCAATTAGTTTATTAAATAGAAATCCTATGATATTATTACCGCCTATGATTAATAAATTATTTTCAAAAATACTGCCAATTAATTTCCGCTTAATGTAATGGGGATATACAAATCGGAAGTAATTTCAATGGCAACACTGCGCTATTGAAAAACCAACGCAGTCAACGGCCCGAGTATAAAATGATAGATGTGCGTCTATCGAATCTGAAACCGATCCAAAACCCCCGACCATTAATGGACGTTTGTCAACTTCCAGATACTTGTTGTATGCAAATGCCGACAAGCACAATGGATAAATGTATCTGGGAAATCCGTTTAAGAACGAAACATGTCTTGGCGCAAAACAAAAGATTCAAATATCTATACAATTGCTAATTAATGTTAATGAATGCAGACGATCCGGTATTTGCGTTTTGTGCTAAAAGCAAATCACAGCAAATGCGTAACAAATTCGTCTCGAGAGGAACGGAAATGTTGGTTCTCGCCTAAATAATATTTTTCGAATTATTTAACTCACCGTTGGCTTGAATGAGAGCAGCGAATCCCAGGCACAATAGAGCGCCAAACGCCAGAATGCAGCACAATTTGTTGGCAGCCATTTTTAAGCAGAACTTTTGTCCGAAATATATTTGTTTCAAATGCAATTTTAAGAACCGCTAAACAGTATTCTCAAGGTGAATATAGAACCGAACTCTATCGAGCTGCCCGTTCGACTAAGCTGGAAATCCTACGGGCCTCGCTTTTTTGTTTGCAAAAGCTCACTCAAAGCTCCAAAACAAAAGACTCAAGCTGAGAACTCGAGAGAGTGATACTACTAAAATAAGTGATAAGGTTTGATTTTAAAATTATACTTTTAGGAGGCAGTGGTTTCAGTGTCTTCATTGCTGCAGAAAACTGTATCAAGATAACAAATTTGACTTAAAGCTGTAATTAAGAAGATACTCGGCTTTGAAAATATTTTTTTTGGTTACATATTTAACTAAGTTATGTTCTAAAATCAAAATATAACTTCTAAATTGTGGAAAATATTTTTTTTGGTTACATATTTAACTAAGTTATGTTCTAAAATCAAAATATAACTTCTAAATTGTGGAAAAAAAGCCTGCCTTTTGATGTCCCAAAACAATCTATACTACACAAGTAGAAGAGGTACCTCCATTTCTCAGTTACTCCGCTTTGCACAAATTTATTTAAAATGTAAAAATCTCAGTGCTTAGATCTTGTTGAAGGCAGCAATGTCGACGGACTGCACGAAGTCCTCGAACTCCTCGATCTTCTCCTGGAGCAGATCAATGGAGACCTTGTCGTCCTCGATGACGCACATGATCTGCAGCTTGTTGATGCCATAGCCGACTGGCACGAGCTTGGAGGCGCCCCACAGCAGACCGTCCATCTCGATGGTGCGGACATTGTTCTCCATCTCCTTCATGTCGGTCTCGTCGTCCCAGGGCTTGACGTCGAGGAGCACCGATGACTTGGCAATGAGGGCGGGCTTCTTGGACTTCTTGGCGGCGTAGGCGGCGACGCGCTCCTGCTTGATGCGCTCGGCCTCAGCGTCCTCCTCGTCATCGGATCCGAATAGATCCACATCGTCGTCATCGTCGGCGGCGGCTGGCTTGGCAGGAGCAGCGGCCACGGTGGGCTTGCCGCCGGCCAACTGGGGCAGAGGAGTTCCTGTCCAGGCGGCGCGCTCTGCGGCCTCGAAGGAGGCGATGTGACGGTACCAACGGGCCACGTTCACATTGTCGGCGGCGGGGGCCTTGCCCAGAGCCTCGAACACGGACAGATCGGCCTTGCTGGGAGTGTATCTGTTGGGTTTGGAAGGAGGCTCTAATTAGTATTTGCACAAAGGTGAAATCATCTCATTTGCCGACGTGGTGGGGGTGGCCCTAACCTCACTTGCCGCCGCGTGCTTACCCGCTGATGTAGCTGTTGTCGGCCAAGAAGTTGTTCAACTCCTTGAGTCCCTGCGGGGTCTTCACATCACCGAAAGCCATTTTAAATGCGTTTTTGTGGGGGAAATTCGCGTTTAACAAATCTGTAGCCGTGCTCTGCACAACGTTGCCGACGAAAGAAGAACTAGTGGTGGGAAAACATCGATGACGCTATCGACTAGTCGATAATTTTTGGAACCCTCGATTGTTTAATTAGGGGGTTTCCCAATCAAAGGCCTTATAATGGCAATATAAAATTAAAATTGCATTTTCTTCACTCATATTTACAACTTTAAAGGTCTTTAAGTTAAACATTTAAGAAGAGCAAATTCCGATGTTCGTTGTTTATAGCATATATCTGAAATAGAGACCAATATTAATTAACTTCTTAGTTCAATTGTACAACAATTGTACAACAAAATCAAATTATAAAGATTCCAGAATATCTAATATCTCCAGAATATATAATATGGGTTCAAATTATTATTTTTTATCCATTTTTACCATAGCAAGCAAATTAATTTTCTTTTGTTGGATGAAAAATGTGTGTTCTTAATACTTACGGTAGATGAGTTTGTATGAAATCGGATGAGAACTTGTAAAGAGTATAGTAGGTACACTAAATAAGATATATATATATCCTTTGTCGATAGCATACGGGTTCAAATTGTACAGAAATTTCCACAGACGTTATCCTTGCTTTAAAAAATAAACAGAGTTTAATTTATGTTGTTCACTATTTTTGTACACATTTTTTGTAATTTGTGTATATGTTTGTATGTAATATAAGTATAATGAGCTAAAACTATTCTTATTACCCTTATTAACACAGAAAATACAATTTTCTTTTGTTAAAAAAATGTTGTATTAAATAAATTTCGATAGTATCGCATGATAACTTTGGTTGATCCCTGGTAAAATCCCTCAAAATGGGCAGTGTTACCGTTCACCAAATGCCGTGAAAATCCAGGGGTCGAAAAAACGCCACCAAATCGTTATAATGCTACTCAATTTTTTTGCAGACGCATAATTTTCACCGCAAAGCCGAAACTAAAGTGCAGAAATCGTGTTAAAAAAGTGCAACAAACGGCAGCTAAACAAGTAAGCAACGCAGGCGTTTGAAAAACAATTTAAAAAAGCCGACAGAAAGCCGGAAATAAACGTGAAAACCCACACAGCGGCTTTTGTGAAAAACTCGCCCCTTTCGACTATTGAATTTTCAACTCGTGCGGGGCTAGAAAAAAAAAAGTGTAATCCGGCACAGGATCGTATTATATATATTGTAGGACAATCCGAGATGAGCGAGTTCCAGACGCAGCAGACGAGCATCAGTCAATCGCAGGCACTCGCGCAGGCAATTCAGCGTGCCAAGCAGGTGAGTTTCGCTCCCCGGGAAGAGGAAGAGGAAGAAGCGGAAGTGTGTGTATATCGGGCCCATTCCCATTCCCCATCCAGATTGCGGCCAAGATCCAACCGAACCAGCAAGGCGGAGCTACAGTGGGTCCATCGCCACCGGCGGTAGGCGCAGGAGGAGCACCCAGCTTCAAGCGTCACAACGACGACGGTGACAGCGGTCCAGACTGCAAGCGCTCTTTCGGAAGTCCCGAGTACGGCAACAACAGCTCCAACATGAGCAGCGGCAGCGGCGGCGGCGGAGGTGGAGGAAGCGGAGGCCAGGGCGGAGCCAGCATAACCCAGGCAATTGCCCAAGCGGCGGCGGTGGCCGCTCGACTGGCCGCCTCTGCAGGAACCAGCTGCGAGGAACAGATCCGGCTGCCCGACTCGGTAGCCGGCGCCTTCATGGGCCGGGCCAGCAATGACACCATCACACACCTCCAGGCGGAGTCCGGTGTAAAGGTACAGGTCATGCAGGATCAGGATCGCGTGATCATGCTGCGTGGCCAGCGTGATACGGTCACCAAGGGACGCGAGATGATCCAGAACATGGCCAATCGGGCCGGCGGCGGTCAGGTTGAGGTGCTACTCACCATCAACATGCCGCCACCGGGACCCAGCGGCTATCCGCCGTACCAGGAGATCATGATCCCGGGCGCCAAGGTCGGCCTGGTTATCGGCAAGGGCGGCGACACCATTAAACAGTTGCAGGAGAAGACCGGCGCCAAGATGATCATCATTCAGGACGGGCCGAACCAGGAGCTAATCAAGCCGCTGCGCATTTCCGGCGAGGCGCAGAAGATAGAGCACGCCAAGCAGATGGTGCTCGATCTGATAGCCCAGAAGGATGCCCAGGCCCAGCAGCAGGGCGGCCGAGGCGCTGGTGGCGGCGGCGGAGGTGGTGGCGGTGGTCCTGGCATGGGATTCAATAACTTCAACAACGGCAACGGCGGCGAAAGCGTCGAGGTCTTTGTGCCCAAGATCGCTGTGGGCGTGGTTATTGGCAAGGGCGGCGACATGATCCGGAAGATCCAAACCGAGTGCGGCTGCAAATTGCAGTTCATCCAGGGAAAGAACGACGAGATGGGCGATCGGAGGTGCGTGATTCAGGGCACTCGGCAGCAGGTCGAGGATGCCAAGCGCACCATTGATGGACTTATTGAGAATGTTATGGTAAGTCGGGGAGTCCTGGGTTCGTAAAATATCCCTTAAAAGCATTGGAAATTAATCAATCCTGAAAAGGAAAGCAGTGCAATCATACTTTTAATTTGTAGGTTTCGGTTAAAAGGTTTTTTTTTAAGCATCAGAAATACATTCAAATAATATACAAATACATCTTTAGCTTTAGGTTATTTGAATCATTTAAAATTAGAGATATTTACGAACTCTTAAATATTTGAAGGCCTTGAGATACCCCAAATTAAACTTTTGATTTCATAGCAACGCAACGGTATGAACCGAAATGGAAATGGAGGAGGCGGTGGAGGTGGCCAAGGAGGTGGTGACTCCGGCAACTCCAACTACGGCTATGGATACGGCGTGAATCACGCCCAAGGTGGACGGGAGGAGATCACATTCCTAGTACCCGCTTCTAAATGTGGAGTAGGTTCACAAATAGGTCCCCTACAATACCAAGCCTTCTAAACGCAACCCATATCTCTGTAGATTGTAATTGGTCGAGGTGGCGAGACCATCAAGCTGATCAACCAGCAGTCTGGAGCCCACACCGAAATGGATCGCAATGCCAGCAATCCGCCCAACGAGAAGCTCTTCAAATCCAAGGGCACCACCGACCAGGTGGAGGCAGCCCGGCAAATGATCTCCGAGAAGATAAACATGGAGCTGAACGTCCTTTCCCGGAAGCCCATCGGCGGTGGAGGTGGCGGCGGCTCCGGCGGTGGTGGTGGAAACTCTGGCGGTGGCCAGAACAACTCGCACCATAACCAGCAACAGGGCGGCTATGGTGGCCCCAATCAAATGCAGGGCGGTGATCCAAACTCGGGAGGAGGCTATCCGCAGCAACAACAGCAGTGGGGCGGACCCTATGGTCAGCAGGGATGGGATCCGTCCGGACAGCAGCAGCAACAGCAGCAGCAAATGGCCATGGCAGCCAATCAAGGAGGAGCCGCTGCGGCGGGAGGTGCAGCTGGTGGGCAGGACTACTCAACACAGTGGATAGAGTACTACAAGTAAGCAATAACATACTTTAATTGCAATCTGCCAAATAACATAGTTTGAAATATTATCACTTGACTGCTATAAGCATGTATTAACATTGCCTTATCCTTTTCAGACAAATGGGATGCCATCGAGAGGCTGAAATGATCGAGCAGCAAATGAAGGCCAAGCAGGCGGGCGGCTCCTCGGGACCTGTGCAGCCACAACAACCGCAGCAGCAGCCTCAACAGCAGCAGCAGCCACAGCAACAAGCAGGCGGCGGAGGTGCCGGAGGTGCTGACTACAGTGCCCAGTGGGCGGAGTACTATCGCAGTGTGGGCAAGATCGAAGAAGCCGAGGCCATCGAAAAAACGTTAAAGAACAAGGTTTGATTAGACATATTTCCTTCAGTAAAATCTCATTTATAAAACTGATTGCCCGAGCAGCCACAGAATGGAGCACCAGGTGGCCAGAGCAATGCGCCCAATCCCAGCCAGGGTGGACCCAATCCCGGCCAGCAGCCAAATCCCGCTGCAGCGGCGGCAGCAGCAGCGGCTGCAGCAGCAGCAGCCGGCGGATATGGACAGAGCATGACTCCCAGCCAGTACGCACAGTACTCGCAGTATTATGCAGCGGCGGCTGCAGCTGGTGGCCAGCCGCAGGGAGCGCCTCAGCCCGGTGGAGGGCAAGGCGGTGGACCGCCCGCTGGCTATCCCGGCGGTTATCCGGGCGCTGGATACGGTGGTTACCCTGGCGCGCCGGGCCAGCAACAGCAGAAATCGCACAAAAACGACAAACACTGAGGACGTTCGGAGGGATCGGGAACGGGGGCGGGGAGGAGATGCATGTGGGAGTGGAAGCGGACGCCGAAGTGGAAGATGCTGCGGTCGGAGGGCGATGCAGGTGCCTTGCATGGGGTGAGTTTTAAAGCCTAGACATTTACGGTAGTTAATAGTGGAGTGTGTTTATGAATCAATTTGAATTGAATTGCTGTCTTTGAATTTTGCTTTACGTATTTTTGCTTTTCCCATATGCTTAAAATGCTTGCTTAATTTTATATATAAATTGCCCTTTTCTACTTTACATACCATTTTTACATATTAATATTTTTGGGTCAGAATTTTCCATCTAAGCTTATAGCAATTTTCATTTTGAATTGTATCGGTTTTTGGGGTGAAGTCTTATAAATGATAATCATCTGTTATGATTTGTAATGTATTTCATTTTAAAGGATCTTTAGCTTAATGAAAAACTTGAGCCTATATAATCGAAATATGCCATCCTTTATTAATTTATTTTTGAAAGATGATTATCAAAATTCAAAATTGAAATTCGTACGCTCAATGGAAAATGGTCTGATCCATGTTTTACACGACTTGTAATATCCTAACCAAATCTTGTTTACCATGCGTAAAACTCTTTGCAGTGATCTATTGTTCTACTATGTCCTATGTCTTTTATCCCCCACAAAACTAGCAAATCAGAACAGAAAAGCAAAAGCAAATGATTTTTAATTGCAATAACAGCAGCAAAAGCCGAAGCATCAGCAGACAGACAACACACGGTAGAATGGAGGCGGAGGTCAGAGGTGACAGGAGGAACCGGATCCATCAGCCAATCAATCGGAGAGTGAAACATTGAACGTTTAGCTTGTGGCGTCGAACTTTTGTAAATGTAAATTAATATGATTAACACTGTCTATTATTTGGATATTGCCTATAATTTCTCCAATAGTTTGTAAGCGATTTCCCTGAGAACCTAAGTATATATATATATCTATATTTATAAACTCAATCAAACGAAAGATAATGCTCTTGCTGTTCATGATCACTACTTGCACAGACACGCTAAGAGAAGCCAATTGAATCCGTTTTGGGTGTTTTGTTCTTTTTTGTTACACATCTGCATATGTCTCTTGCATATGTTATTTCTTTCACCGTCAATTCAGGCAAACGATCCGCAGCTGGGGTTAAACTCTTGAAAGATACCCTTTCTGAAAATTCTCAATTGCAATAACTGAAATACTATTACGTTAGCAAAAGTACTGCAAACCTATCGATAAATTCATAATACCTCCTTGATACTATCGATAATGAAAGTAAAATTTATACATCGATAGTTAAGCAGCTCTATTTAATAACATACGCATATATTTACAACATAAAAGATAACGAAATTTTTTTATACATGAACCCATTTTCACGTACTTAGCTTAGCATAGTTTTAATAAGAATCATTTTAACAAAAGATGATGGACATTTGCACTTGATCTTCTATGTCTGCTGATCTGGTAAGATTTCAAAACATTTAATAGAACCGTTTATAAAATTTGCGAAAAGTAAGGGCCTGGTGTAAAGGTGTTCTTGTTAATTGAGCTTTTTTGAAATTTTGCATAACAATATTTTCACCTTTCAGTTGTGGAGTCCCCATTATATCATTTTCGTAGCAGTAAGCAAAAAATGAATTGACTTATAAATTATTTCCTGCTCTATATTTGTATATTTGCAATCCCAAACTTGGTAGAAACATATGCCTAATATTTACATTTAAAGAACTTATTTAGGAACAGGATAATCATGCCTGTATTAATATCTTTATCACCAAATGCAAACATAAAGTATGTACTTTCAGAGGCCGCTCTTCAGACCAATTCATAACAGAATTTCGAAATCAAACCCCAAAACTTTTTCACACTAAAACAAACAAATACTTGAAGAAATACAAACCACATATTATAAAAGTGTCAAACTTGGTAAGATCGTGTGTTGTTATTACTGTCTATTCAATTATACATATTGCAATGAAAACAATGAAAACATACCCAAATGAATGTAGGTCTACCATAATTTATAAACATAACTTTGACATATAATCTAAACTAAGTTTTACGTCTCCCCGAATATCTGATTGTTGCAACAGCAGATGAACCATATTGTAACCGTTGTTTGGCTAGGCAGGCTCAGATCGGGTTCCGATCCAGATCCTGATCCGTCCTCCAGTCGGCAAAGCATTGAATAAACATTTAATATACCGTATACTATACATCCATATACATATTGCCAGCATATAGCACCATGGTGTTATGTGCCTTATTGCGTTTCTATTGATTATATTTATACCCGTTACTTGTGTTTAGTGGGTCATCCAAGATTCGGTTGTTGGGGCGGGATTAAAAACAAATTTGCTTTAAAATTCTTTTAAATACCACATTTACTATCTGTCTACACCACTGATTGTATAGGCTAAAGTTAAGATAATGTACATAAAGTTATTTTAAACCAAAGACCCACATACCGCCATTTCAAATTTAAATAAGACAGAAGTTCGAGTACAAAATTCCTGCTTAGACGGATAACAATTATTTTGAATAAATTAACATCGCACGTAGTAACGGGTATCTCACTGTCGGGACCCCGACTGTATCGATCCTACTTGCTATATTTCGTTAGCTGATTGTTTATTGCCATATTTGAAAATCGTTTATTGAGCGTATTTTCAGAGGTTCTGGCCCTTGCTCGTGGAACAAATCTTGGGGATCGGGACGGGCTTTTAACTTTTACCAGTTAATTGATTGCCACAGTCGGTATGCATTTGGACCATATTGGAGTAACATTTTTATATCAAACTGCACATATATTATACTCTTAATCGATTATCCTGAATATTATATATACTATTTTGTGAAATTGACATATATATATATATATATTTCTAAATATTTTCCTAGCAACTGCAACGATATTTCATTTCCCGAACAGTGCTCCTACTGATGAATTCAGTGCTGTATATTTTAAAAATATCGTTTGAAGGTATCATTTGCTTGCTATATAAGCGGTTTTACATTGGCTCCCAAGCCTATTCTACATTTATATTATTCCATTTCGTGTTCTATAAGTGGTATATTAAGAGTTACTCAGGTCTGGTATTAGCAAACTATTCAAAACATTTTTTAAAAATTATTTCTACTCTTTTTTTATACTATGGCAGTTTGAAACAGAATAGCTCAATTTTAAGTGGTTGTGGGAAGTCGCTTTTCTTCTTTTCATTTCAGCAAGGTTGTCCAAGGTGATTTGGTCTTATGAATCAAGGTAAGTATGACCCAACCACATTTCAGTAGTAGTACATTCAATAACCCATTCCGTTAAGCATTTCTTTTGGGTCCAATGTCAAGCCGTTTATTTTGCAATCAAATGATATTTTTGAAGTTTATATTTCTGCATACATTTCCATTTATTTGATTTAAATTACGTGCTTTGATCTATTTGCAGGACCAATTGAGAGAAAAGTTCATTCTTCCCTTTGTATTATCCATATTCTCATTGATATATGTATTTTTATCCTGAAATTGTTGCAAATGTTTTTTCTTTATATATTAACCATGATGCTTTATTTATTTTTACCAATGAATTATAAGTGAATCATAACTGACTATCTGTGTGTTTCAGCCTTATGTCTGCGTGGTAGATTCCAATATCAACCCGGTCAAATCCTGAAAGAAATTAGTCTAATTTTCAACTTATAGTAATTCGCTTGAATTCAATTAAGTGCATTAAAATAATTACTTATATTTTAAAATGTCATCATTATTGAATATTTACATTTTCAAAATAAAATTCCCTATATAACATAAACTAAACCTATCTTTCGACTATCACGAAGCGGTTTCTTCTGAACGATCACTACAAGCAGGATAAACAAAATCCCTTGGGCCCCCTAAAGTGAGTGGGAGACTATTATTAATTAAGATTGTTTTCGAAAACTCTGTCTTCTCTGTAGTTTATTGTAGAAATTGACGAAGCTATTTTTCTTTCGTTGCAAAAAAATAACATTATTTTTATAAAACTTCTAACTTTAAATGTAAAATATGATGAACATTTTTAAAAAGCTATTTTGATTTAGATGTTCCTATTCTTCATAAAAAGTTTCGAACAAACCATTAGCATTGCTCCAAATATTAATATTTTGCGGAACGACTGTTATCTGTGATCCTTACTCTTTAGAGCCCTACTGAACTATTTTAAAAACCCTTTTCCCTGCTTATATAGTGGATTACAAATATCAAGGAATGTAGTAGTAAATTCAAATTGTTTCCCGCCAAGAATTTTGGGTTGCTCGAAGTATTGCATAGATATGTGCGGTTATGAATGGAATGAGTCCCTTCCCTGGGGGACTTTGATGTAAGTTCGATTCTCTCTGATCGCACCTCTGACTGACCTATTTCTTATACTATATGATCAGCTCTGTACAGTCAGCGGATCGTGCCTTTTTATACCCTTGCAGAGGGTATTATAAGTTCAGTCAAAAGTTTACAACGCAGTAAAGGAGACATTTCCGACCCTATAAAGTATATATATTCTTGACCAGCATCATTAGGAGAGTCGATATAGCCATGCCCGTTTGTCCGCTTCTACGCAAACTAGTCCCTTAGTTTTAAAGATATCTAATTGAAACTTTCCCAAAAGTCTTTCTATTGCAGCCGGATCGGGCGACTATATCATATAGCTGCCATATAACTGAACGATCGGAAATGCCATAACTTTGTTGTTTGGAAAGTTAGGAAGTTGGGATTTTCTATGTGTTTTTTGTCCAATCAATCCAACCTACCAAATTTCATAAGGATCACCGACTATATCCTATAGCTGCCATATAACTGAACGATTCCAAACGCCATAAGTTTGGTGTTTTTAAAGTTAGGAAGTTGGTATTTTTTATTGGTTTTATTTTTGGCCAACCAATATAATTTACAGAATATTCTGCAAGGGCATATCAACTTTCCTTTCCTTTCTTGTTCAATATAGGAAACCGAGTCCTATATTAAGGTATTATTGTGGGGGTCGAAATTTCTCACAGTGCCCTCCCTAGTTTTAAATTGCTGTTTTGATCCATCCCGAGAAAGACAACAAAATAAATTTTAAATTTTTAATTCAACGTACATCGAGCTTTTTGTTTTGTTTTGATATATGTATATTTACGAGTTTACTACAAGAAAACTTACATTGAGATGCGGCTGTGATAATATTCAAACTGATTTTGCTGGCATTTAAATTTTTCTCTTTATATCGTTTTCTTTTCTATTCCATTCTCTCTTTTAAAATTAACATACATCTATTTTTACCTTGTAAATATCTAATATTTAACTTTATTCTTTTTTCTCATTCCGTTTTTCAATCTTGTGTTCGTTTATTTTACTCACATTTCTTGTGAGCTTGTCTCTAGTTGCGTTAATTAGCTGAGAAACCGTCCAATCCTCAATCACACAGGGGCCGAGCACTTGATTAAACAGGAGTGGGAGTGAGTGGATGGGATGGGATTATCGAAACGGGTTCTAAATTATATCGGGAACATCTGCTGGTCATCACTAGCTCCTCTTTAGTGTGCCTTAAAATAACTCGCCCAAAAGACACTTTTTTTTTCATTGCCAAAAACGCTTTGCAATCGTTTAAATTTAAATTGTTATTCCATTCACGTGTGTTTTTGTACTGCTGCCAGTGTTTGAATTTTAGGTATATATTCCAAGCCTTTATAAATTTTTAATTTTGCTTTTTGTTTATTATTTCTTGTGCCTTAATTTTAAATACATAATTTCTTGTTGAACGTCAAATCAAAATGCACTACAGTTTAGTTCTTTTTATCGGATTTTTACAAGTTTCTCTTTTTTTTCTTAATTTACACACTTTCTGAAGAGCTGTTGAGCACATACTTTCAAAAAAATAGAAAATATTGTGTATGCGTGTGTATGGTTGGACAAACAAAAAGTTATATATACAGTTGAATATATATAAGAACGGATAGTCTACTGCCGCTGACGATAGAATTAAGGTGAACTGCAGAAAGCTTTTAGGATAGGAGTACAAATCATATACTTATAGGACAACTACTAAGAGTTACTCTTCGCAAACTATGACAAACGTTGTTCTGTCTCGGCAAACAACTTGCAGACTTTGATGTCGCGGTATGTTTTATTTTATTTGTCTGCAGAACCTGGACCCTCCCCCGTCTTCAAAGTGCATTCGTTGCTACTTAGTTTTATGTCGCAATTAACTGGAAAAAAAAGGAAAGGCGTTAAATGAGCTGCACATTAAAGTACAATATAAAGTGGCGCTTCAAAACTCCGATAGTGGTAGCATTGATTTAATGAAGGTTTTCCAAATCATATCTTTTAGCATCGATTGTTTTGCAGCACTGAAATATAAAAAGTTGCTTACCGCTTTAACTGTGGCCTTGATAAAGTCTTTCTTGTCTGTTAGATCAAAGTCAGGATATTTCGCGTACACCTGCTTGCACACTGTTTTCATGGTAATCTCCTCCAGATTGGCTTTATCCAATATCTCTTTAACGTAGCCGCGTATTTGTTCATCCTGTAAATCCGATTGATTAAGCTTTTATAATATAGATATTTAGTGGTGGCTACTAACCGTTGGGAATGCCAGTTTGCCCTTTTTGGTTAGTGGCTCGTCCTCGTCGGACTCATCTTTGTCATCGACATCATCCTCTTCCTCTGACGATTCTTTCTTTGATTTTTTCGATCGACCATCGGCTATGGATTGAAATAATGAAGTCAAATGATATTGGTCTTTATTTCAAATCATACCCTTTCCAGCCGGCTTTGACTTGTTGTTAGCTTTGCTATTTTTCGCAGGCGTACTGAGCTTCTTACTCTTTTTGGGACGTTCCTCCTAAAAATCGGATAAGAAAAATAAGTCAACTGGTTTTGATTTACTATAGCTGCATTTACATACCTCGCTTTGATCACTGCCAAACTCCGAGACCTCCTCCTCGTCTTCATCCTCGGATACGTCATCCTCTTCGCTATCGGAATCTTTGCGCTTTCGTGAAGCTGCTCCTCGCCCTCTGCCTCTTCGTCCAGCTGACGCAGGAGCTGCTGGTCGACCACGTTTGCCCACGGAACCACGTTTGCGTTTTGGGACCTGCGCGTTTAAATATTTTAGGTCAGATTTCACGGGTCATCAATGTTTAATTTAAGAGTGAAACCTACATCACTATCGGCTTCGGACACTTCGGATTCCTCTTCCTCCTCGGAATCAGAGTTTCTTCGCCGGCTTTTGCGCGCCGGACGACCACGGCTGCCGCGACTTGGCACTTTGCGCCCGGCTGCACCAGCACCACCGCCACCACCACGACCGGCATCAGAGTCAGAATTGCCAGAGGGATTGTACTATAAAAGAGAGTATGTCAGCCAATCGTTGCTCTCCTAATAATGATTTACTTACATCTGAGCCCGATTCCGAGTCATCGTTACGTCTCCTTTTGGGCACTGCGACTTTCTGCTCGCTCTCCTCAGAGCTGGAGAAATCTACATAGGCGGACATTTCTGAAAGAAGAAAACCAATCAAGTTAGATATGTAAAAGTACCCATCACTAAGATAATCATACTTTTTCCTGCCGTGGAACGTCTGGGACGTCCGGTGGAATTGCGTGCCGAGCCTCTGCCAGCGGAACCGCTCGACTTGCCGCTCTTGCGTTTCTTGTCCTCCTCGCTGGGCGGATCCTCCTCATCCTCCTCCAGATCCTCGTCCTCGGGATCTTCCTCTTCCTCATCACCTTGCTCCAAGCAGAGCGATTCGTCGGGTTCCATAAGGAATTTCAGCACTCGCAAAACAGTCTCGGTTTTGCTGCCTTTGCGATCGAGGGTAAGGATCTCGCAGATACTTCGCAAACCCTTGTTGTCCACCTTTTTGATGGCCTCCAGTTTTTTGTTGTACTCTGCTGAATCCTTTGCAAACTCGAAGCCGGCAAAAGACCGCAAGTTCTTCTTCACCACATTGTTCTTTCCCTGCGCACCAAAGCAGAGCTGAAAAGTAAGAGGGAATTTAATCAAAAAAGTAATGGATTAGGTTTCTGAGAGCTTACTGCGTGCAGAGTCTGCAGGCCATCCACGCGAGTCTTGTTGATGTTCTCGTTAATGCTATCGATCTCAGCCAGAGCCACGACATTCTCATCATCCTCGGCCACCTCGTTGTTCTTGTCCAAGCCATCGTTCTCGTCGCCGTCAACATCTTCGGCATCCTCATCATCATCCTCCTCCTCATCGTCCTCTTCCTTGGCCACCTTGCCATTCTTGGCCTTGGGCTCCGGTTTCTTGGCTTTTTCCGCTCCGGACTTTGGCTTGGCCTCATCTGTGGCATCCTTTTTCTTGTCATCTGCTTCTGGCTTTGATTTCTTTTTCTCGCCCTCTGCATCACTGGCTTTCTCATCGTCCTCCTCCGGTTCATCGCCTTCCTCCGTATTCTCCTCTTCTTTCTCGGAGTCCTCATCCTTTTTAACATCCTTACTAGTGGATTTCTTCACCGCCGGCGAGGGGGATTTCTCCTTTTTGTCCGCTGCAGCTGTGTAAATTAATAACAACAAAGTTTATGGTTAAAGTATTTAACAAGTATATTCTAAGGTTTGAAATAAAAAAAAAAGATTAGAATGTAATAAATAAAAAAAAGTGTAAGCATAAAATTAAAATATCTTCAAACTTGGGAAGTCCAATGCTAATTTGTTTTGGGAGCGCAAGGAACTATGATACTTGAAGTTTTGCTGTACCTCGGCATTAACTACGCAGAACCCATTTAGAGGATTTAGCATGAACAATAGCCAAGGAAATAGGAAAAGAAGTCTGAGTGGTTTTCAAATGATAATTTTTGTAAACATTCCCTCTCGACCGGAGAGGGAATCGAACCGCATGCATGCCAACATAACATAACAAACATCGGAGCACGACGCTTTAGACCGCAACGCCACATCGGAGCTCTCCCAACAAGTAGCCGAAGGCCAACAAGAAAGTGGGGGGAAGAGAGAGCTTTCATGAAGCGAGAGCCAGACCGCGTTTTTGAAACGCGCGCAAATTCATATTATGATTTTTGTTTTTCTCTCTCGTTCTTCACACGCACACATGGCCAGGCTTTCTGCTTTTATTTACCTGCATCCGATTCGGTATTTGAAACAACCGCTGCGTCTCCTTTGGTTTTTTTATCAGCGACGTCATCAGTGGCGGTGGCAGCGGCTTTGACTTCTGCGGCGGCAGGGGGTTCGGCTGCATCTTTGGACTCCCCTTCAACTTTCACTGCCTCCCCCGCTGCGACCGTTGCATTTTCCACCTCGCTTACCTTATCGGCGGCATTTTCTTTGGCTGCCGTTTCTGTCGCTTTGTTAGCATCCTTTCGTTGAGGCGATGTCGATATCATGGAAAGATACAAAGTCACAATTGGATTACATTTGCTAATTTTTTGGCGGCCACTACCATGGGTTTTGGTGCGTTTTTAATGGCAATTTGATTGTGTGCGTTTCTTCGGCGAGTTTGTGTATGCGTGTCTTCTCCACGAAACCAACGAAAGAGCGAGAGAGAGAAAGACGAGAGAGAGGCGATAGAAAAAACAACATTGCAAATCTATGAGGCACACGCACACTCTAGCCATCTCGCTCGCACTCGTTGATTTCGGTATCTCGAGCCACAACGACGCCATGTTTATACACACAAGCGAACGCGGGAGAGAACCGATAGTCAGCCACTTTTGGCTCCGCACGGTGGCCGAGAATTTGTTGCGCTCTATTTACACACGAAACACAATTGCTATTCCGCCGTTTTCAATCGGTCCCGCCACGACACACATTCTGCCGTCTTTTCCCACATTTTTCACCTATTTACATACCATATTTCTAATGGTTTTTCTGTTTTTCCGTCAGCCGACACACATTCAATCTGGTCACTAGAAGAGGTGTCACAATCGATAGTATCGCCTGCGGCAAGCACTAAAAAATACCAGGCTTTATAAAGGGTGCTCTTTTTGATGTTCGGTTTTGGCGGGCTTTAAAATGGGTTAATATATTCAGAGCATTTATATTATTTAAAAACCACATATAATATTCATTTTTTTAATGTAGTTTAATAAGCCATGCACTAATTGGGAACCAATAAAATAAATGGGTCCCATCGCAAGAAGTACATGTTTTTACCTTTTTCTCGTAAAATATTTAGTTTTTGTCAAAAAATAACTAAACATAAATTGTGTATTTCAACTAGATTTACAACTTTTGGTTGAAATATTTTTAATAAAGAACATGTTCAATTACCACTTCTCCGTGTTACAAACATCTAGCCAAAAATAAGAGATCTCCAGAAAGACAAGACTTGTTGTATACTTTTTTTATATTTGCTTTGAAGAAAATTATAACTAAATAGTTAAAGAGGCATTGAAATTATAGGAACTAGTGCTGATTTCCAATGCATTCAATGTACATAAACATATTTTTTTTTTTAAAACTAATCCCCTTTTTATAATACATTATTTATTTATGCAATAAAGTTTAATTAAGTGCAAATTGCGGTTTTAATTTTAATCAACCATAAAATCCTTTAATTCTTTTGGAGAACTCAGCTCAAGAAAATTAATTTTCTCAAAAACTGTGTATACGGTTTCTGTAAAATATTGATTAGGTATCCTTGAAGAAAATTACTTTGAGCTGATCTAGCGTGCAAATTGGCACACGCTTTGTGGGTGGAGATATCTCCAAAGTGTGGGAGGCCGAATTTTCAAATGCATTTTTAAAATAGTTTCTGATCTCCAATATGCTTAAATCCTTTATATTAATATAGAATTTTAATTTTGTTTTTTTTTTTTTTAATATTTTTGTTCGTGTTCCAAACTCCACCGTTCCGCCAATGTTGATAGGTCACCGACGCTAGTTTGACGCAAACAAGTTATGGTATTTTAAGTGAAAAAGATGATGGTCATACTTGTTCCAAAAAAAGCGCGCGGCGTGTTTTTGCAAGCAAAACAATTTGGCTGGCGTTGGCTAATCTAATTTATTGGACAACAACTTTTCAGGAATCACTCAACCGTCATGGGAATTCTTGGATTATCCAAGCTCATTGCGGATTTGGCGCCACAGGCGATTCGCGAAAGTGAAATGAAGAACTTTTTTGGTGAGTCCTACATGACCTTTTATTCATTAAAGAATTTGGGAATGGTCTTAAATCTTTATTTATAGAAACATATTTGATTTCTGCTCCTCAATTTTAAAGGTCGCAAGGTGGCCATTGATGCAAGTATGTGCCTGTACCAGTTCCTCATTGCTGTGCGCTCCGAAGGCGCCCAGTTGGCCACCGTGAACGGGGATCCCACGTCCCACCTGATGGGCATGTTCTACCGCACCATTCGGTTGCTCGACAACGGCATCAAACCGGTCTATGTCTTCGACGGAAAGCCGCCGGATCTGAAGTCCGGGGAGCTGGCCAAGCGCGCCGAGCGGCGGGAGGAGGCGGAGAAGGCTCTGAAGGCAGCCACCGACGCGGGAGATGATGCCGGGATTGATAAGTTCAATCGCCGGTTGGTCCGGGTGACCAAGGAGCATGCCAAAGAGGCCAAGGAGCTGCTCACTCTGATGGGCGTGCCCTATGTGGATGCTCCCTGCGAAGCGGAGGCCCAGTGTGCTGCCCTCGTCAAAGCAGGCAAAGTCTACGCCACCGCCACAGAGGATATGGATGCCCTCACCTTCGGATCCACGAAACTGCTTCGTTATCTCACCTACAGCGAGGCGCGCAAGATGCCCGTCAAGGAGTTCAGCTACGATAAGTTACTCGAGGGTCTGGCTATCAACAGCCGCGAATTCATTGATCTCTGCATCCTGCTGGGCTGCGATTACTGCGAGAGCATCAAAGGCATTGGTCCCAAGCGGGCCATCGAGTTGATCAATAATTACAGGGACATAGAGACCATTCTGGATAACCTGGACACCAGCAAGTACACGGTGCCCGAGAACTGGAACTACAAGGTGGCTCGGGAACTCTTTATCGAACCGGAGGTGGCGAACGCCGAGGCCATCGATCTCAAGTGGGTCGCGCCGGACGAGGAGGGCCTGGTCAAGTTCCTCTGCGGCGACAGGCAGTTCAGCGAGGATCGCGTTCGCAACGGGGCCAAGAAGCTGGTGAAATCCAAGCAGGCTCAGACCCAGGTGCGACTCGATAGCTTCTTCACGGCCCTGCCCAGCACTCCGAATGCCACGAACGCCGCCAAACGGAAGGCCGAGGAAGCCAAGAAGAGCGCCAACAACAAGAAGGCCAAGACCAGCGGAGGCGGAGGTGGGCGTGGCAGGAGACCCAAGTAGCTACTCCGGTTGTCGTCTGGAAAAACGTACAATTCTTTAATTTTAACTTAACCGTATTTAAAGCCTATGCTTACGATAAAAACTACATCTTTGAGCTTAATGCTAGTTGGTCTGCTTGTGGGCGCGGGTGAGGTTGGGATGTTGGATTATGGATATTGGATTTTGAATTATAGTTTGGATTGTGGGGGGCTGCGACTACAGCAAATACTGCTTGGCCAGGGCGCGCAGGAATCGTGACTTTCGAACCATGGCGCACTCTCGTTTGATCTCCTCGTTGTTGTTCGCATTCAGCTCCAGGGTGCCCATCATAGAGATCTGTTTGGGATCGTTACTTGGGATTATTTGTATAATGACGATTAAGCAAACCTACCGCTTCAAGTTTCCGACTGTGTTCGCCTCGTTTTGCATGCAGATTAACGATGAACTCCAGCAACGTGGTGTCCCAAATACAGCTGTAATACGCATCCATGGCATCCGTGAAGTTTGATGACTTCTCGCTGAGATTCTTAAACACAATGCCGTAGTCGATCTCTTCGAGGAACTGGCACAGGACGGTGGCCTGCATGTGGCATCCCAGGTTGGCGGCACATCGAATCATCTTGCGGATGACATAGTCGTCGGCCACATTCCTCTGCAGCGGCATCGTGCAGTAATCCGTGCCAGTGACCAGGGCATTTACATAGCACCGCATGGCAGACTCGTTGTTGCCGATGGCCAGGTCCAGATCTCCCTTCATCTTCAGCCAGGAAATGGTCTGCGGATAGTAGGACAAGGCCTCGGATATGAGCCATTGCAGGATCTCGCACACGCTCCTTAAACTGTAGCTGATGGGGCTGAAAAGTGCGTTGAAGTGGATAGTGATTGGCTCTTAGAAGTAACTACTTGTTTGCTGATCAACTCACTTGTTAATGCTGGTTGGCCACAGCTGCATATACTCGCAGCTTAGATCATGGTTGGGGTCGTCCTTGAGGATATTGTGGATCTTGCCTATCATGGAGATGGCCAGACCGAATACGCTCTGGTGGCGGATGCGCTGTAGAAAAGCCTGCAGGGAGCTGATCCCGCCCACTCCAGCGGAGCCCCTTTTCGGGACGTTGAGGAACATGCTCAGCATCAGTTCCCAGGCATCACGGCACACCTTCTTGGGCCCCTTCATCTTCTCCATCTCGATGAATGTGGCTGCGAAAGCGAGGGGCAATTCCAGAGGACCCGCACGTTTGTCCAGGTAAAGAAGCGGTGAGAATTCCGTGAGGTTAAGCAGCATGATGGCGCAGCTTTCCAAGATCTCCGGCCGTGGGATCATTGAATCACCCGCCTGCAGGGCTCCCAGACACTGTTTGCACCTTCCTCCCAAAGCCTGTAGATCCAGTGGCTTCTGGTGCCACTCATCCAGGCATTGGGTTATCTGGATGTGCAGGATTTCCCAGGTGAGCAGCTTGCACATTAGCTGCACATTGGCCGCCATCTCTTGGCGCTGCGTTTCCGACTTCAGGACACTTAGCATCGAAACGGCATCTATGTAGTTTCCCCTGGTGGCCAGTTCTCGCGCCTTGCCCAGCAGCACATAGCTGAAGTCCTGCAGAAAGCTCACCGGCATGGCCATGATCAGGGTTTTCAGGGGCTGCGGTACGTCCCAGCTGGGATTTATCGCCCACAAAGGTTTTCCGGGAGCCGTGCCACACAGCTTCACCAATAGAATCCGCACCGTGTTGGCATTGGTGCAGCTAATCAGTTGCCGTTCCAGGGCACCCACATCCACTCGGTTCACTAGAGGATGGGGATCACAACATTAGATATTTGGAGAATTTACATAGACTAGAGTTTCTTACTTTTGGAGTGGCACATCCAGTCCGACAGCGAGGCCAGCGAATTGGTGGGCACTGGCGGCGCCGCTTGCAGCATTTGTTCGTCGAGATCCTGAAGTTCCTCTGCCGAGAACAGGCCAAGTCCGCGCACCGTCTGCAGCAATTGTCGCGACTGCGCACTCTGATGCAGCAAACAGTCGATGAGGAAGTGCTTGAGGGCCGGCTGCTCATTGGGACTGCAGTGGGGCAGTACTTCCTGGAGAGCCTCCACCAGCGGCGGCAGGCAGTCCAGCTCCCTGTACTTCTCGAAGTACTCCACGCTGCCGAATATGCTGCCCCACTCGAAGATATTGCGCACCACATTCAAGGCGGCAACCTGCAGTTGCAGCTGAACGGTTTCCTTGAGTAGTCCCGTGGAGATTGAGCCCTCGATGTCCAGCTCCAACTGCCGCCGGCTTACAAGAGGGATTTCCCGCGCACTGTTGTCCAACCGCAGGATGGGCACAATGTCCGTGTAGTTGTTTAGCAGCGATTGCTGGAACTTCTCCAAGAGCGTTTGCTCTTGGGCGCTGATTCCACAGGCTTGGAGCAAACCCTCCAGCTCCGCCGGTCGTATGTGGCAGAAATAGAGCGTCGTCTGTGGCGCGATGGCCTGCAGATTGCTGTTGCAGGCGGCGGCCGCTTCTCGGGCCAAGACATACTGCTTGGTGTGCAGGTAGTATTGCGACAGCTCGTAGTGCAACTGGGCCCTCAGCTCCTGTGGCGTGATCAGGTGCATGATGTCGTAGTTCTGGCCAGTGCCCAGATCATCGCACTGCAGGGTGACAAAGCTGTCGTAGTGGAATACGTAGAAGGGCTTTGCCGAGGCGCAGAGCTGCTGCAAATACTCGATGGATGGCTGGGTGGGTGAGTCCAGGAACTGCTGCAGCTGGTCCACAGTTTGGTACATGGTACTCGGAGGACGTGGCGTCTTGAGCGCCTGTTCCTTAATCAGTTGCAGTCGCAGCAGCAAGCGGTGGTAAATGGTGAGAGCGAATCTCGCTGCTCTTTCGTTGCCGGCGGTGGCTAAAGGGGTTTACAGTGGTTATCATGGCAATTAAGAGGTATTTTCAGGTAAACTCACAAATCTTCAGGTCGAAATCACTAGGCAGGGGAATACTCAAGGAGCAGCCGTAGCTAATGGTGCACAGATCGCGCAGCAGGGCCAGCTGCATAATCACAGGCAGGTTCTTCTCCAGCGCATCCAGGTCCCACTTCAGCCAGGTGGCCACCTTGAGCTCCAGGATCTTGAGGGCTAGCTGCTTCCTGGTCAGTTGCAGGCCAGTCTCGCCTGGCCTCTGTGGACTGTGGGGCATGCCCACTCCGCCGGAGGCAGTGGGCGTTGTGGGGGCAGCGGCACCTCCAACCACGCCGGGAATGGGCCCGGCACCAGGTGGCACCTGGTTCAGACCCTGCAGATCGCTGCCGGGCGTCACCACCGACGCCATCGCCGTGTCCGGCGTCATGCTGATGAACTGCATGATCAGCTCCATGGCACTGGGCTCTGCAATTGATGGGGAGACGAGAACCATTAAAATCCCTGTGAGTCGGCCAGATTCCACAAGTGATTCCCACTTACCGGGATGCGGGCGCTGCAGGTGCTGCGTGATCTTGTGCGGATCGAGCAGGAACTCGAACCAGAGCACCGTCTCGGCGGCCAGCGGCACTGGCTTCGGCTTGAGCGGATCGTCCATGCTAATCCCTGCCAAAATTCACCAATCAAAACAAAAATTAAAGAGACGGGCCCGTGGCCTTCCAATCGATGTATCGATTGCCAGATGGCTCGACGGCAGCAGCTGTGTGGGGTTTCCAGCACTGGAGAGTATCGATAGTTGGTATCGGTTGACAGCTGCTCCGCTCTAGAAAAGCGTGGGCGGAAACGGAAGTGCGGGATAAACAGCAACAATTTGTCATGCGCTGGGGGTCTCTTTCTTTCTATCTGCGGTCTCTTTCTAAAGCGTTAAAGATTCCAAATTTAATTTTAAAATAAAGCAAGAAACGTTGAAACATTTTAATATATTTTTAATATTGCTTTGCCCTAAAACTATTTAAAAATAAATTCAAAATTCATCGAGATGCACTTTATACAAGCAACTTGACCTTAAAAAAAGAAAAGCTAAAGCTTCGAAATATACATTTATTTATTATCATTCTCTTAAACTCAATACAATATAGCATTTTGAGATAGAAGATTGTGTATTGTGCAAAAAAGCTAATTTATTTCTGAAAGAAAACTACCATTACGTTTTTTAATTTAAATATTTTCCATTTCTATCCCTATTTAGTCAAACTTAACTAATGAAGAATTAAATTTACATATGTTTTATTTATTTAATATAAGAACCTTTATTTTGTGCAGCGTCTAAAATATTTATTAATTTTGACCTTCTTTTATTTCTGTTTGCATAGTTGACACATCCCATAAAATTTTAATTTATATCGCCGTTGCACATAAATACAAACACAAAACGATCAAATGCCTAAGACGGTTTTTGTTGTTGTTCATTAAAAATGTAAAACAGCTTAAAAACTATTTGGGTAATATATGCAAATATTTATGTTTGTTGAATATCGAGTCAGGTGCTCTGAAGTTTTGTGTATATCTCTCTCCAGTGTGATTCTCCCAATTTTATTGTAGCCCCTTTTTTAAAGCCGTCTGACGTTGAACTTTATGAGCATCTCTCGGCCCTATAATGTGAATCTTAAAAAATATTTTACGTTCAATCAGGTGATTTTATGCAAATTACACGATTCCACTTAATACATATGCATATGTGATTTTATGGTATTTTTTATCTGCTTATAATATTTTTTTCGGGGAGCGGGATGCTGGGCTCGACGAGGCCTACAAAACCAAAAGAATGAAATTTTCAAACAGAAATATATTTTATTTCTGGGGTCAAAACGTGCGATAATCTTTTTACTTTGTTGTTTTGCCATTTTTTCTATAATTATGCAATAAATAACGCAGCAAAGAGACTTAATTTTCAAACGCTTCTTCGTATAAAAATCGGTACAAATCTTTTTTAGTTGTGTTCTTTGGTAGGGAAATGTGAAAGGGGATTTGGGGGTGGCCCATAAAAACGTCAAATGCGTAAAAGTATTATTCCGATTTTCGTGTTAATATCGTCATAAATTTTAATAATAAATTGACATCGAAAAAGAATAAACCTTGGCTAAATTTAGCCTTTGCCTTGAAGTCTTGGAGGAATTTTCGTGATATATCTAGCTAAAACTATTCATTCATGGTATTTTTGACGCACCTAAAATTCCTATGGAATGATCCGATCTATTTAGCACTTTTAATAGTTTCGAATCAGCGAAATTTCTTATCTCCTTCAGGTTCAAAGTTGACCAAAGGAATGCGTCTGTTTTGACGATTCGACTTGGGACTGTTGAGTGGTAAACGTTAGCTAAGTCATTGCTAAATAACACTGATTAGGCGCCTGATTTGAAAGCGAGTCATCCGGGTTATCATTTAGTTTATAAATCACTCGAACAGATTCGGATCAGTGGCGTTTCTAACTGAAACTGGCACTGGGTACATATGGTACATATGGTAGTTCCAAATTAAAAGCCCCAAAACCGTTCTTACTCAGTTGCTAGGGGAAATGCCAGAGGTTGGAGTCTGTTAAATATTTGCATAATATGCCATACTTTGCTCACAAATTAATGTAAATTTCGGTGGGGCTGGTGGAACACCTTTGGCCGTAGAAAACCAGAAATCTCAATCTCTCGGAGTTAGTGAGGCTCAAACAAACCGAAAAGAGGGAAACAAAGGCAGAAAACAGCTTTTCGAAGTCTATTGATTGGGTCGTAAATTTGTTTGCTTTTGGGGGTTTCTGGCGCGTCTTTTGTCGGGCTCATTTGCATTTTATGCAGGTTGATGTTGAGCTCGTGCCATTCACAAACATCGATACACACAGCTCCAAGTATTTATGGCTTTGGCCTAGCTATCATTCAATAATCTCCGCATAACTAAACTGACCCAGTGAAATTCTCCATTGTTCGTGTCTTCAAAGTTGTGCGAAGACTTCCAAATGAATATGCCCTTAATGAGATCTCCCTGCGAATCCAAATTGTCACACAAAAACATGTATCTTTCGAAGAACATTGGTTAAATGGTCTAAATAACTTGATTAACTTACATTCTAATAACTAACTAACATTCTAATAAGAGTTTAAGTTTAATTATATATAACTTCATAAAATTAGATGTTTAAATATGAAATATCTGTTTATGAAAGTTTGAGTACCATCATTGTTAAATTGTGATTATTTTATAATTCCTTATTATACAATGCTAATTTTTTGAATCACATTGGTGAGCTCTCCGTTTTTTATATATTTTTGCCTGGCTCTTTCTCTTTGGTGTTATTAATAATGCCATAAATTAACTAAATTCATTGCTATTGCTAAATCTTTTTACGTACGCACCGCGACACCACAAAGAAAATATCAACGAAAAACACAAAAAACAAAAGGAACGGAGAAAAGTTTTCGAAATATGTTTTCTTGTCGAAAGAATTCGTGTCTTTCGTCTGCTGGCAGGCGGGATGGAAACAACGACACGAAAATCTTTCAGCAGCAGTTGACACACCCGGACGGACAAGACGGACAAGACGGACAAGACGGACACCCGGACACCTACGCACTACTCCGTAAAATCGGGGGATGGGGCTAGTGGTTTATACGGGGGCTGTGGTTCGGAGAACACCTACCAACCGAAAATGAAATGAAAATTGTGGCGAGCTTTTCGGCCGCCGTGTCGCCGTTGATGGCCTCTGAAATAATGCAAAACCAACTGTTGGGAAATTCTCCACCTAATTTCGAGACACGGTTAGGAGCAGGAGTACTCTATAAGGTCGATGGAGAAATACCCTATACTTTTAAAACATTCTAAGCTTATTAAACATTGCCCAAAATATTACGGACCTAACCGAAATGTCTGATTGTCACAGAAATCTCTTGAGGCTTTATTTTCACCTTTAGGTAAACTTAATAATAAAGTCAATTTATGAATATATATAAAATTAGGCATTTTAAAATGTGAGACTATCAATCTTGCCGTTTTTACCTTATGATAAAGTAAGATCACCCCACTGATCACTAGAATATTAATAGAATCTTTTTGTCGCCGCCATGGTTTCTTTCGTGTGCGTTTTTTGGAAAAGAATTTCAAAATGTGAAGGCATTTTTTAGAATTTCATCGCTGTCGCCACAATAAGAGTTGTTAAAAATCCCCACACATTCATTTAAAGCTTGATGGCTGTCGCATTTTGGTCCCCAAAAAGTCATGTCCCGGACTGTTTATTGTAATCATTTACCACGTAATGGTATCTATAGAGCGTTTTCCATTTAAGATAAATGCGACAAATGTGTCTCTGAGATGTGTTCCAAAAAATTGTAAAGAATTCACGCGGAAATGTGTATCAATGGACCAAAAAAAACTGTCAGCAGTGTAAAGATACAACAGATCAAAGCCTTTTCTCCAATCCTATTCCTATACTTATTAAGAAACTGTCTTTAAGTTCCATAGAAGTGGATTGCAGAGATCTTTTGTGCCGAAATCCACTCACTCAATGAATTTCCATTCATTGAAAGTTACTTTGGCATCGAATGCTTTTTGTTGATCTCGATGATGACGACGATCATCTTCAGATTGCCAGTCACTTGATTCGGTTTTACCGTTTGCGGCAGCATTAATGGCCCGAAAATACACCTTGCCTTGCCAAACAAAATCGAATTCGGAGGGCAAAAGACTTCAACGATCGTGTCTTTTGATGGCCCAGCAATGACACACATTTGTCAAAACGGGTTCACTTCAAAAGATCCCGCGAGAAAGGGAAAGAAGACGACAGCGAGCGAGAGAAAGGGGTAGACGCACAGCGAAAGAGATGGCTGATGGCTGATGAAGGTGCAAGACACGACGGCAAGGCGACAAGTGAAAGACAAATGTGCGGGCCATCAATTGTCAAATGCCAAACAGGAGGTGCTCGCATTGAAAATTGAAAAGTAATAATACAGAGAGAATTTTGAAAATGTTTGAAGATGTAATAGTTTCAAATCCTTAAGAATTTTGGTTACAAAACTGCCACAGAAGGATGTCCCAGAAAATACGATTAAAAAATAACAAAACCTTTTTTTTTTTGAATTTCTGTACTTCTTAAATTCTTTTTTTTTGTATTTTCCTCGGTGTAATAATAGCATCCCCAACCTTATGGATTTCCCGCTGATGGTGTGGAAATGGTTGCACAATTGACGCTCTCGCCATTCATCATCCATCCAAATCTATTGCTTTTCCCCTCCATTTCAGCTTCTTGGCCTTGTCAAGTCACGAGTCTCTGTCTCTGTTTTTCGGGGAGCCTTCGGGTGTTTCGATTGTTCTGTTCGCTTTTTGTTTGCGAGCAAATAGTACGCTAGACCCTGAGACAAGGTACCAACTACCATCCATTCAGCTCCGAACCCACTGACAAACCACCCGAAAACATCTGGGGGCGAACAAACTAAGGAGCCAGCTCATTTGCTTAATCGTTGTTGGAACAGTTGCCTTGGGTCTGTTTAAGTTTTGCATTGTTCTGTTGTATTGGGTTGACTTGGCTACGAATGAACCTGTTCGATCAGCCCCTTTTCCATGTCAGTTTCCTTGATGATCGAATTTAGATCGAGTTGGCCATAATCCGTCGTTTCTTTTCCATTGAAATTCTTTTTGTTCGGATTTCGTATTCATATGGACCGGAAAAAAATCGATTTTTGCACTATTAGCTGGCTTTGGCTGATCAACTTCGCATCAGCTGAATTTTAATATTAACCGAAAAAGTTTTTCATTTTTTTTATTTTTTATTTTATAAAATATTCATGATTTGCCTTAATTTGTATGGTCTCTTGTATTCGCAGCTGGTTAGGGGTGGTCAATTCGAATAAATTTGATCATCAGATTCATTTCAACTCAGTTTCGTTTCATTACTGAACAAGCTAGGCAAAATAGGATAAAATGTTCCCGGTTCGCTCCGTTGTTTTATGTTTTCTCGCTGTAGTAGCTTCCACCCAGGGAGCCAATATACTGGGGATATACAGCGCCCTCAGTCCCTCTCACTTAATCATCCACATGTCCACGGCCAAGGCTCTGGCCGAAGCAGGACACAACGTGACCGTGGTAACCATGATGCAGCCCAAGGTGATGCACTAGGACATCCACCTGATTGTGGTGCCAATCACGGAGGAACAGGGGCGCACTCTGGATAAAACGATGTCCCTCATGGCTGGAAGCAAGAACGACATCATCAGCACAATGTATCTCCTCTTAAATAACCTGGATGTGATGATTAGGAACCAGGCTCATCTGCTTTCCGATCCGAGATTCCTGAGCATTTACCAGACCAAATTCGATCTGTTGATTTTGGGTTTCTTCAACGACTTCCAGTTGGGAGTTGCAGCTAAGCTGAAAGTTCCTGTAATCGTCGATTGGATGATACCGTCCAACACCATGATCGATAAGTTTGTCGCTAATCCCTCTGAGATCTCCTATGTGCCAAATGAATCCACATTTGCCACTGCTCCCATGAGCTTTCTAAAACGAGCTGAGAACTTGGCTAATCACCTGATTCTCAATTACTTGACCCTCCGATTTGATTACAAATTTACTCGCATTTACAATGAAATTTTTACAGAATGAGATTTTCCAACTCTAAATGAGATGAAAAAGAATATCTCATTGGTTTTCGTCGGTTCCCATTTAATAAGCGACCGTCCAATTCGACCACTGGTTCCTGCGATTGTTGAAATCGGAGGAATTCAAGTGAAGGAGACACCAGATCCGCTGCCCACGGACATTGATCAGTTTCTAGAAAGGTCCTCCCAGGGAGCCATCTTCGTCTCATTTGGCTCCAACATCAAGAGCCATATGTTAAAGTCGGAAGTCGTCCAAATCATGTTTACAGTCCTGTCAGGCCTAAAGCAAAACATTATCTGGAAGTGGGAGGACTTGGAGAACACGCCAGGCAATGCCTCCAACATCCTGTACAAGGACTGGCTGCCCCAAGACGATATCCTGGCCCATCCGAACATCAAACTATTCGTCACTCACGCCGGAAAGAACAGCATTACCGAATCCCAATACCACGGTGTACCCATGGTGGCCCTGCCCATTTTCGGAGATCACCCCGTGAACGCTGCCATATTGGTGCAATCGGGATATGGCGTGGCCCTCGACCTGCTCACCATTACGGAAGACGGTTTCGGGAAGGCCATCCACGAGGTCCTGGGGAATGAAAAGTATGGGCAGGCAGTTCGCAAATTCTCCGCTCTGTACAGGGATCGACCCCAAACTGCACGGCAGTCGGTTGTTTTCTGGACGGAGTACGTCCTGAGGCATCATGGTGCGCCCCACTTGCAGAGTCCGGCGGTCCACATGAGCTTCATTGAGCTCCACAACCTGGACATCTACGCTCTATGCGTGGCGATCCTGGTCCTTCTTGCTTTCCTCATCCGACTGGTCGTGAAATACGTGGGGAGTAAATTGCTGGACAATTGGTCAATACAAATAACAAAAATTAAAACAAAAAAATTAAAGTAAAGTATCTAGAGTTAAGAAGCTCAGTTCTTGTAAAGGAAATAAGATACTCTTACAAATTACAATTACAAATTTTGTAAGAAAAGTTACCATCCATTACCAAGTATTACTTATCAAGCATTGAAAGCCGAAACTTAATGGACCGTTCGTGGCATAATTAGAAATCAAGGCGGAAACTTTGCCGGTCATGCGTTGTCCGTTAAAGATTTAAATAAAACTTAGGCTGGCAAAAGAACAGGTGAGAACAGGTAGTAAGAGCTGAAACCCCCCCCCCCCATCTCACCATCAGTCAGCCAGTGGACTTGTACAGGCGACTTTACAGGGAGAGTCGCACTTATTAGTCTGTTAGTCTGTCTGCACTTAAATAAATCCTTCAGCAGGCTCGTCAGAAACTGTTTACCATGAAGAGCGTAAGTGGATTTGACAACTGTCAACTGGTTAGTGGTGCCTTCTCGGTGGATATTTCTGTGGTTGCCATTCGCATGCTAATGACTTGGGGATAATGGTGGAGTTTTGGGGGGATATTGGGGGACGTGGACTTGCCACTTGACATTCTTTCCTTGGCTTCTTTCGCCCGCCAACTCCATCATAATTTGTATGTTCCTCATTAAAATCCAATAACGAATGTGCAGGGATGGGTCCACAGAAACAGGGTTTTGAGGACGGAATTAACCTGTTTTTACTAAGATAAATTAGGGTTTCCTTTAGAAGTGTACATCAGCTATGAAAAGATATTATACAAATATGTTTTTATTATTTGCTTACTATTTCATTGCTTTTTACACTTTACTTGTCTAAGAAATTACACGGAGATCACTAGACTTCAGTGTTTTTACTTTGTGGAAATCTGACTGTATCTATTAACCATTAACCCCATTCGACCTGCAATTTGGCCTGCTTGATCAACTTTGACCCTACTCAAAACACTTTATAGTTCAAAGAATTGGTCACACACACTAACGCTTAATAGACGATCAACAGGTGGCTGGAGTTTGGGAATTTATGAAACTTTTTAATTAGACCCCGTCTAGAGGGCGACTAATGAATTGACTCGGAGCGCACTGGCCATAAATTTTAATTATGCCCGGAGCAGCCAAAAAAGAGAGAACATATAGAACCGAGAGGGGGATTTTCGGTTTGAAGGACCGCCAGAGTGTCACGGAATTAAATATTCAAAATAGCCAGATGAAGAATCGCGGCCCCTTGGGACTCACACTCGCCGAGCGACTCGTAAATAAGCAAACCCACGGTCCCAGAGCCCAGATCATCGATGATAGTATCGACTGCGATGCGGACCAACGACCTTCTTCCACATTTCTATATTTCTACATTTCCACATAATGCTCGCACTGGTTCCCCACTGGTCCCACTCCTCAAATCAAGCGTGTCCTGCCTCATGTTCCTCTTTCCAGCGCCTAATCTTCCACGTAGACACTTGTCCTAGGCGATGTCTCGAAGGTGTCAAATTACTCCGACCAGGCTGAGTTCCCCCTCCTCATCCCAGCTCCCAGTTATCGGCGATGTGTGCCCGAGGACTCGGATCGGTTTTGGGTCGGGGTGCAGAGCTCTCCGCACTGCGTGAGAAACTCTTTGAGGCCTCGACAGATGTGGTGGGTAAGTCGACAAATATAATATATAATCGAATAAATAGTGGGCAAGGAGAGGGGGTAAGACAATTTCCTTGTTTCTTTAAGTTTCCCAAACGTAGTTAAGAAGTTAGTTAAAATTTGTCTATTTAAAAAAAAAAAAAAAAAGAGTTACATTTTTCTATCGGTTGTCCTATTAATATAGATATTTTTTACATATTAATGGAATTAGTTTTCAATACTACATTTTACCACATACTTGCAGTTACTAAGTATATGTTTTCACAAAGTAAATTAATCTAAAAGTGTATAATCAACGACTATAATTTCTGTACTTAATTGGCAGGTTATTGGTATTTTCTCCAAATCCATGTATTCCCATTCCGCCTTGGCTAATCTACCTGTTCATCTTTTCCCATTTAAGCCCACTCACAATTGTGTTATTAATTCGAAACGTAAATCAAACAATTTGTCCAAAATAAGTCACGTCTGCATATTTGAGCTTCGAGCGGCGGTTTGGCCCCATCCCTGGGATTTCGATTCGAAGGGCCATGTGGTCCATTGTTTAAGCCCTTTTCGAGGCTTTTGCCATCTTTTATTTATGAACTCGAAGTCGGCTCCTTGCGGATCCTTTTTTGGACATGTGGCGCGTTCCTCGTGCGGTTTTATTTCCCCTTTTGTCTGTTCTGTTTGTTTCGGCCTTTGTTATCGGGCGTGTTGCATCTCGGGCGCTTGTAGCTTTTAACCAATTGCCTGGCACTTGGCGGCGGACGTTTTAACAGGCCATAAATCTGCTCGGCCTGGCCAAAACCAAAGCCAAAAGACTAGCGGAGCTGACAGCCCAGCTGGGGCACTTAGCCAGTTTGATGACTCAAGCCGTTGCCGATCATCCATCGATCTTTCCAAACACAAATCAAAAGCTCTGAGAGTTTCACAGGTTCTGACTTCGATATGCAGATTCATTAGGGTGGCTCGCATTGTTTGAATCAAATGTTTCATAAAAAGAGAATCTTAATGGCTCTTGAGTTTCATATATTTTTGACTCTTAAAAATACTATTTTTACCTTTTGGTTATTATTACACTTTATTTGGAAATTTATCTTATTCACTGTCACAATTCAATAAAAACTTTTATAGAACTTTAAGCTAAATAATGATATTTTGTTTTGTTTCATCCCACCCTTGTGCAGATTTATATATATTCATTATGCTGTCAGATTCTGCGGCGCTTCGGCTAGCTTTTTCTGGCTTTCGGCTGGGCTTTTCATTTCTGCGCGTGCGCAGCGGCGGCTCCCATAAATTTTTCACACCCCATGATTATCGTGCAGATTGGCCATCGTCTGCCGGCCACTTGGGAGAGCCGGCCGCAATTTAATAAATACTTAAATAAGCTCTTCGGGTTCGCCGGTGCAAGATTGTTGCGTGAACTGGAGTTCAAATGCACTCGAGTCGCGGACCTGTTTCCCGGGTTCCGGGACCGGGAATATTTATGCTTATGAATAAATTCCTGGCTCATTCGCCGCGTATTTGCGATAAGCCAAATGGCATTACCAACAGCTCTTCTCCTTCGTTTTTCCTCTACAGTTCCTCGGCAGTTCAGTTCAGTGTAGCGCCGTTTGGGTTTTCTTCATTTGTTTTATCGACGTCGCGCTTGGGAGCCCTTGGGCATTTATCAGCAATTTATCAGAACCCCCCTGTAAGTCGATCGAGTGCCCCTCGCTCTCCGCGGCACTTCGACATTTAAATGGATTTCTGTTTAGAGTTTCTCGGGTCTGTGTCCCAATTGATTTCCAATTTCTGCGGAAACCGTTATCGATTCTTTTTCGGCTTTCAAGGCTTCGCAGTTTTCTGGGCAGTGTAACAGTCTCTGGAGCCAAGGGATGTCGAGAAATCAAAATCATAAAAAGCCTACCACTTTATCGAGAAGTTTCAAAGTGGGAACTGATAAGAGCAGAAAGGGAATTCGGTATATATACAAAAATCTAAGACTCTAAGTACGTTTTCTTTCAATTCACCATATTAAATAGCTGATTTATTGTTTTTAAGCATCGAAATCGAAAGGGTATACAAAACTTCGGAAGTTGCGGAAGTTTGCTTCTTTCTTGTTCTATTCTAATAGTCCTGCCATTTGTTTAACAAAAAACTAAATTGCAGAAATGAGAATTCAAGCAGAATTCTCCCGTAAAAGAAATCTTATATATGATGAGCCCAGTCCTAGAGTGACATGAACTGTCCGTGTCCAAGCAGGCAGCTGTCGTCCAAAGTCATAAGAAGACACCGAGAACCCTCACAGATCCAGACCCGAGTCCCTCCTCCGGACCCTCCTGCCATTCATTATCTCCGTCTGTCTCTGGATCGGGGAGCCAGTGAAACCCTTTATTTGTTCGCTGCTCTTAAGCAAATTACAGCCTTGCCTTTTGAGCAGGTTGTTCATTCATGGGGCTACCTGCAATGCCACTGGCGATGCGATTGCGATGGTATTGATGGTATTATATGGTTCACGTGCAGAGCGATTTTCCAATCCAGCATTTGCATAAGTCAATGTCCTTTGTGGAGCGGATCCTGTGGTCTCACTGTCTGCCTCTATTTATTATTTATCACAAAACGTTTCTTAATCAACAGGTATGACACAAGCCCATACTAACCTAAACTGTTCAGTCCTTAATTAATTGTTTCTGGTCTCAATGCATAAATATATAATAAATATAACTTATTCAATGACAAATTTATTTTATATTTAATCTGACAACCGAATCAAGAATAACATTATAGTTATTTTAAAATTGAGGTGTAGTTTAAAGTTGTTTAGCTGGAAAACACGATATTAAAGGTTTAAAATATTTTTAAAAAACAGGGAACAGGGGCGCACTCTGGATAAAACGATGTCCCTCATGGCTGGAAGCAAGAACGACATCATCAGCACAATGTATCTCCTCTTAAATAACCTGGATGTGATGATTAGGAACCAGGCTCATCTGCTTTCCGATCCGAGATTCCTGAGCATTTACCAGACCAAATTCGATCTGTTGATTTTGGGTTCCTTCTTCAACGACTTCCAGTTGGGAGTTGCAGCTAAGCTGAAAGTTCCTGTAATCGTCGATTGGATGATACCGTCCAACACCATGATCGATAAGTTTGTCGCTAATCCCTCTGAGATCTCCTATGTGCCAAATGAATCCACATTTGCCACTGCTCCCATGAGCTTTCTAAAACGAGCTGAGAACTTGGCCAATCACCTGATTCTCAATTACTTGACCCTCCGATTTGATTACAAATTTACTCGCATTTACAATGAAATTTTTACAGAAAGAGATTTTCCAACTCTAAATGAGATGAAAAAGAATATCTCATTGGTTTTCGTCGGTTCCCATTTAATAAGCGACCGTCCAATTCGACCACTGGTTCCTGCGATTGTTGAAATCGGAGGAATTCAAGTGAAGGAGACACCAGATCCGCTGCCCACGGACATTGATCAGTTTCTAGATAGTTCAACCCAGGGGGCCATCTTCGTCTCATTTGGCTCCAACATCAAGAGCCATATGTTGAAGCCGGAAGTAGTCCAAATCATGTTTACAGTCCTGTCTGGCTTAAAGCAAAACATCATCTGGAAGTGGGAGGACTTGGAGAACACGCCAGGCAATGCCTCCAACATCCTGTACAAGGACTGGCTGCCCCAAGATGATATCCTGGCCCATCCGAACATCAAACTATTCGTCACTCACGCCGGAAAGAACAGCATTACCGAATCCCAATACCACGGTGTACCCATGGTGGCCCTGCCCATTTTCGGAGATCACCCCGTGAACGCTGCCATATTGGTGCAATCGGGATATGGCGTGGCCCTCGACCTGCTCACCATTACGGAAGACGGTTTCGGCAAGGCCATCAACGAGGTCCTGGGGAATGAAAAGTATGGGCAGGCAGTTCGCAAATTCTCCGCTCTGTACAGGGATCGACCCCAAACTGCACGGCAGTCGGTTGTTTTCTGGACGGAGTACGTCCTGAGGCATCATGGTGCGCCCCACTTGCAGAGTCCGGCGGTCCACATGACCTTCATTGAGCTCCACAACCTGGACATCTACGCTCTATTCGTGGCGATCCTGGTCCTTCTTGCTCTCCTCATCCGACTCGTCTGGAAATACGTGGGTATTTGGTATTTACAAATAAAAGTATTAAAAGCTAAGAAATCGATTTAAAATATCTAGAGATAAGAACCGGAATTATTTTAAAGGAAATAAAATAACTTTACAAAAACATTTTAATTTTAATTTGTATTTTAAATAGCTGCTTTATTCTTTTTAAGCATCTTTCTTGTTTTATTATAATATTCCTGCCATTGTTGGGGCTATGCACAGGAAAAATATGCTACTAATATAAGTATTAAATACATTTTCTGGCGTTGATAAAAACATAAAAGAAGAATAAGTATTTTACAGTCTCAAATCGAATGAATCGAAACCTTGGATATGGTACTATATCCAATATTGAACGAGATGAAAGCTTTACGAAAACACTGATATTTGTTGAAAAACCCATTCTATTTTCATTACTTTGACCTAAGATTTCCTTATTTATGGCTAATTTGTGCGTTTTTCTCCGTGCTTCCCGGGGAGCAGCCATAGCAGCCATGGCTAAATGCAAGCCGAAGCCATAGTCTCGGAGTCCCACAGTTAAACGCTTCACCTGTTCGCGCAAGGCGTGTGCTTGTGTCTTGCCATGGCCAAGACTCCCCTCCACCCCCGCGATTCCGGGGCCCCTGCGAGGGGAGAGGCGTTAGTTATTAAAGCGGCAAAGAGCCAGGTTGCGAGTCTGGCCAAGACGCGCGTGCTTCCTTGCCTGACTGCCGACTGCCAACTTGCCTGCCTGCCTGCCGCTCGAAAACTCGTTTCGATTATGAAAATTCCAAGCATTAATAACTCTGTTGCTGTTGGCCTGGCTGCGACTTCGCATTCCCCGTACAACTTGGACTTGACTTGGACTCCTCGACGGCGGCAAACTTGCTACAGAATTCTGTGCTATAAATAAAAGGCGAAAAATACAATATAAAAAACAATTCGGCTGTTTGGGCCCAATTGCATACACTGGCCAACAGTAGCTGGCCGAAGTAAGTGAGCAAATTTTGTTTAATTTCACTCGCTTTATTTGCCATTCAAAATACACTTGCGGTGGGGACTTGTATTCGTATTCGTTAAGAGCCATTGGGTTCAAAAGTCTGCTGTTGCCAACAACAACTGGCATGCTAATAATTACAACAACTGCTTGAGCGACTACTGCTTAATGGCTACACTAAGCTACAGGGAATATTATTATTTTGATACTAAGCAATGGGAACTTTATCATTTAATAGGAATTTAACTGGTTATTTCATTTGAAACATTTTTGTACATCGTTTTTAAATAGCTCTGACTACTGCACTTATTTCCTTTTTTTTTTTTTTTGGTTTAACATATAGACTTAACATAGCATTTATTTCCAAGGTAATAATCTTCGTTTATATAGTTACTTTTACACAAATTACTGGCTGGTTAGTGTTACCATTAACCTGTTGCTTAGATGTTCTTCCACATTCGAGTTAAGGTTCATTGCAATTTCTATGCAAATTTATATAATTTTTTACGTGTTAAGCAAGTACGTACATAGCCACAGTTGATGGCTGTTAGGCGTCTGGGTTTGTAGCTTCGCATGTGCTTTTAGCCATATACCGGCACATATGCAGGTATGTGTAGGAACTGTGAGGGGCGTAGGGTTCACTTATAAAGCAGTTGTCCATGCATATTCATGACCACGCTTGGACCAGCCTCCAGATCATTTTCGCCGCTGCTAATTGCCCAGTGAGCTGGCCAGGAATCGGGAAAACTAACCGACATTGTTCGCTGTAGCGGAGTGCCCGTAGCCATCAGCTTGTGTCAGGCCAAGATAAAAATTAGTTTAACCACGTTAAGGCTAATTATTCCATTAGTTCGAGAGATACGAAGGGGAGGGGGAGGGGGGACGGAAAACGAGCTGGAAAAGTGAACTTTTTTAATTACCAGACTGAATGGACGGGGCCGATTAGCCACAGACGCGGGGCCCCGCCAGGTGGCGCTAGTATGGCCCCAATCCATAAATCCATAACGAATGCAAATTGCAGGCCGGGTTATTAATGCGCGACTCTGCGAAATATGTTTTCCACAATAATGGCATTTCAAACTTTAACCATACCTCCATGTAATTGGACAAGCCAGTTCGGTTTATTCCACCATGTCTGTTTGCGATAATCCATATTAAAAGTGAATTACATCGTTTAACTATTCCACAGTAATTAAATTATTTTTGCATGCATAAGCGGGGTCAATACCGGCTTGGTAATTTATCAGTTTCACTTTATTGTTTAGATTGTAGATAGTATTTTTGTGTAGATGTCGCCAGAAAAACTGAAGTTATTCTTGCATTTAAGTGCGATCACTTGCCCAGGGTTTCCTGCCAGACACAAAAGCTCAGTGGCTCTGGGAACAATGCTAATTTGATGCACCCCAACGATGCTGAATCAGCGAACCGATGCACATTCCCATTCCAGTAAAAGCTCCACTTTCAACTGCAATTCCACACAGAAAACTTTTTCCTTTTCATTTAAAAATAAAAAAAATGTTTATTTAACTTTGATAACAATATAGTATTAACAAGATTCTTGAACAAGATCAAGGCTTTCATAAGAGTAGTTGTATGTGAATATCTAACTAAGGACTAACTATTAATAAGAAGAGTTAAGGTGAGTTTTTTCACTGTGCACTGTAGACCTTCGCTAAAGAGCAGGCGTGCCAAACAGCCATGGGATGGATACACAGTAGCCCAGGTGGATTCGGTGGAGTGGGGCAGCGTTCAATTACCTGTGGCCAAGAGGCGCTGAGTTAGTTGCGCTAGCTCCGGTAGAACTGGGAACTAGACACTGGGAGACCGCTCCTTGCGGCATTGTTTCGGTGGCACGAGTCACCCGTCTGGAGTCCGGAGCTCTCCTCCTTTTGGGTTTTACCTGTCGGTGCGGGCAATCAGTGCAATCAAGTTGGGCCAGCAGGAAATAGCCTTCATTGCCCTTGATTATGAGCCATGAGCTTGCACTCCGAGTTTCACTTCTTGATCAATTTAGATAACTGTTGGGAATTCAATTGGATTTTCTAAATAGAATGGGAATCACAAGTCATAAAATGAAGCTCATTAGTTATTTTGCTAATATTTCAATCCTTATACCCCAAAACTAAGACCCTCGACATGAGAGTCCGCAAGTACATATCTCTGGCAACTTATTATGTTTCATACACCACAGTTACAAACTATTTGAGCCCAGAGATTCCACCACGTCGCTGTCTTAAGTATAAGTATATAAATGAGCTAGCTGAGAAGATCATTAATGCACAGTTAAGAGCCTGGGGCTTAAAAGGGGTTCGGGTTTCACAAGATCGCATCGTCAGCGAAGTCGCAAAGGTAATGCCGCCATGTGTGTATTGGTTGCATATCTTTTACGACTTTTGGACTTGGCTAGTTAGGGTTTTGAACCTGTTCTTTCGGCCACAGTTGTCGTAGCCACGCTTCGCTCCAGCTGCCCCTTTCGGTATTATTAACGATCATTATGAAGTTTTAACTTAAGTGGTCAATTAACATTTGCATGACTGAAATCGGAATTGGAAATTAGTGTATAACTAATTAATGCACAGAGAAGAGCTTGAAAAGCCGAACTAGAGTTGATTTTACAGGGCACTCCAGTTTCCAATCTTCGGGCATCCAACATGCCAAGTTCATTAGGAGTCATCCAACCGGAGGAGTGAGACATAATTATGTTCAATTGGAGGGGCCATCGAATGCATTTTCGGGAGTTCCCCCCTGACTGTGACACAATCAATTGAAAGAGTGACAGGGCATGACTTCGCACAAGTCACTTATAGCATTTTCTCCCAGCCCCAGAGCCTTCGATATTATTAATATAGCCTGATTGCTTTGTTAGCTGTTAATTGATTTACGCCCTGCCATTCTTTTCCCCATTGGACTCGCTTTTATTATCATGTCAAGGCGTATTATATTACAGCCCGTAATTTATAAATCATGCTCAATATTTTGATTTCAGCTCATTTCCAGTGGCCAAGCACAATCTCTTCCCTTTTATTCTGTTGCTGTGGAAGATTGAGACAAGAGGTAATATAAGTATGCATAGGGTTGATTTGTATTTTTAGGTTGAAGTGTAAAATTACTTATAAGTTGTTATACTTTTAAATCGAAAGAAATGGGTAGAAAACTAAACTGTCCACTTATAGTACCTTATTCTACTGGACGATTAGATACCCTCCTCACGCACTTGATTAGATACACCCGCCTTGACGTTTGATTAGATATAGTAGCTCTCCATATACCATATAAAGTACTTAGATACGATGACGCTTGGGACTTCTCTTCTTCCGATTTTGAAGGCAGTTGGAACTGCCCAACGCCCTTTCCCACAAGTCTTTGGGGAATTTTATGGGATAAAGCTGATTAGGTTTTCTTTGAACTAACTGAATTTAAAACCTGTACACTTTTATTGGTCAGCGTTGATTGGTTTTCCAATCAGTTACAAATAATTAGTAATGAAATATCAGTGGGCCAAGCCCGAGAGAAACCCGACAGCTGGAGTATCTTATTCTGTGGACACACACCTGGCCAACACAAATCAGATGTCGAAGGTGAGATATGCGGCCTTATGAAATTAATTTCAGCATTTTAGCCCCTGGCCACTGACAGAATCGATTGTCTAGCTCGCTTCGGCTATGGGTGACTTTCAATGGATCGTGGCTGCTATCGTTTATTTTTTTCAGCTCAAGTGGGGGGTGTTCTGGGGCCGTGTGGTGTGAACGCGACATTATCGTGTAGAGCCATGTGGATATCAAGTGTTCTCGTCGCTATTGCGATTAACACTCGCGCCATCGTGAAGTGCTTCCCTATCGAAACTGGACCCTCTATTGGCCGATTTAAAGTGTAGATTGGCCAGTACACACACTCTACTACTACATCACTAGGCCGCAATTAGTTGTTGCTTGTGAAATTGTCACACAATTGCTGACTTTGCAGTTTTTATTAGATTGTTTGACCGTTAGACTGCTTAAAATTTTTCTATGGAATTAGGAAATAAAAATCTTGT